TATATATATATATATATATATATATATATATATATATATATATATATATATATATATATATATATATATATATATATATATATAAGATTATACAAAATTTATTATTAATTCGGATTATCTGAAGATTAAGCCCCTCACCTAGATTATTTTACCTGATGATTAATTAATTATTTTTATGCTATACCTGGAGAATTCGGATAGGTTAGATTACGTTTGGATTTGGTTAGGTTAGGTGTGTGTGTGTGTGTTTGTTTATTTATTTGTTTGTTTGTTTGTCTTTGATGTGTGGTAGTTGTTATCTCAAAAGTACTAACTATAGATGCCGTCAAAGAGACAGAAGTGACAGTAGTAAACATTTGAAAGCTCTTGTGTTTTGAATGTTTACTGTAGCATCACGTGAACTTTAGACACCCCAGTTTATTATTTCAGCTGTATGTTAACCCACCTGACGCTAACCAAACCTAACCTGACGATAACCTAACTTAACCTAACTTGACGATAACTTAACCTAACCCCCATAAGTAACGCTAAGGTGTTTAATTCATCAGGGGTGTCTAATCTTCAGGTGTTCCCTTTAAAGTTAACCCAAAAAGTACAATTACTATCTTCCATTTGCTCCTCAGTCATCACAATCCTCAAGAGTTGATCAATATCCCAGTCACAGAACCCAATTTACTAGAGTGTTTGCCGTCATTACAACATCTAACACTTCCTCCACACTCGCTCATAATAAGAGCCGCCGCCACCGTGTTCTTACTGGGACGTTTCCTTGACAACGGGAGCTTAAGACACAAAGATGTTCCCCAGAGACGAGACAGACTTGAGGAAGAATATAAGCACTGTCTCAACGTTATTTTACTCTTAGTCTGTGTAAATTTTGAATTAATGTAAAATTGTATGATTGTTTGACTGAATATCTATCTATCGATCTATAGTAATGATAGACGCTAGAAAGTTTGTGTTTATGTATGTCAACAAGTATAGGAACATTCATAACAGAATGAAAACAACATTCACAATTATTATAAAACATCATAAGTAAAAAATAATTCTTCTGTTTTTTACACGATTACTTATAAGGAAAAAATTCTTAGTCCATATCTCCCCTGAACAATTCCGGACACGGTCGTCAGGTTCCCGCGTTTTCCCTCATTGGGATGCGGCCTCACGTTTTCCTTGGCATCAGAGTTACCAAAGAGGGTGATCCATACACGTTTTTATTATACATATCCTCAGTACTTTACACAGGGAAAGTCTTATGATAGGTGGGTTACAATGGTGGATTTTGTTTTTATAATATCAACTCTTAACATGAATGAATGACTGTTGAGCACGAGTGATTATTGTCCTCTTATGTGATACGGAACGAAGGAGTGAAGACTTTGGCAGCGGTGGAGCTAAGTGGAGGGGGAACTAAGGTGGTGAGTCTTGTATCGTAACTTTTACCTCCCTGGGAATAATCGGTGCTTCGTCCAGCTTATCAAAACCAAGACGATGATAATCCCTCATGAACGATAATTACACTGCCGCCGTAACAGACTTATAGACGAAACAGAACAGATATTGTCGGGGCTGTTGACAAATGGTGGTGGTGGTGGTACAACTTGTCTCTCTGGAAATTCTTGGAATGTGTCTCTGGCGTGTGAGAGGGACAAACTTCCCCCAGGAACAACGACCAGCAGCCAAGTGGAATATGGAAAGCGGCGCCGTGAGCAGAATAAAAGATCTCATATCTGTATACTGAAATCTGGGAGGAGGGACGATGAGGGGGTGTATAGGTGTTTCTGCAAATACAATATGATTCAGATTTTTTTTTAATAGTAATGATAATATTGATAGTAGTAATAGTAGTAGTAGATATATAAAACAACAATACAGTGCCTGGCTTGATGACATATAACCCAGTTAAACCCACACAGTAGAATATTTGAGACAGGCAGACAGACAGAAGGAGAGAGGGTATTAGACAACACCATGAATTATATATCTCTCTGTGGCGGGGAATAACAAGGGAGAGGGGAAAGATGTGGTGTACGGCCCAAGGGTTTGTTTGACCTGTCCTGACCAGAGCTCTACGCCGTCTCCACAACACCCTCACGGAATTTGGATGTGGTTTTTTGTTTCCTGATGTTATGGCTGTGTGTGTGTGTGTGTATGTGTATGTGTGTGTGTGTGTGTGTGTGTGTGTGTGTGTGTGTGTGTGCGCAGGTTTGAACATGCTGAATGTATACATGTTTCAAATTATGGAAACACACACACACACACACACACACACACACACCATAGCCAGGGGGAAGGGGGGGGGGCGCGTAGGAATATACGGTACCTCTCTCTCTCTCTCTCTCTCTTACGGATGGTCAGCTGCTGAGTGTATAGTTGAGGTGTTGTATAGCGGGTGTATGGTTGAAGTGTAGTATATACCTTTCATTGGTGTATGGTTGGCTGGGTGTTCTCTATAAACAGTACGACTCTTTAAACTAAGATTGTTTGGTATTATTGTCCAGAATCACTCAATTTTCAGGTCAACGGGAAGGTAGAGGTTGTGGTGGAGCTAATTACTTTCAGACTAAAGATTTCCTCTCTCTCTCTCTCTCTCTCTCTCTCTCTCTCTATTGTGAGTCTTATTACGAATATTCTCTTATTTTTTCTCTCTTTATTTTATTTTATTTGTCTTCTCGCTCATGACGTCACAAGGTAAACACAGACTTCATTTACAACCATGGACTGTTTTTGTTTTGATTCTCTCTGTCGTGTAGCTTTTGTTCTTATTGTGATTATTCTTTTTTATTATTATTCGTTTCTCTCATTCTTCCTGGACGACAGTACGTAAACATAATGTCAATCAACAGGAATCGTATCTTACCAACACATGATTTTCGTTCTGTTGTTGCTTTTTTTGTTGTTGCAGATGCTTCAATAACAACTTATATAAAAAGACTGAATTTAACGTATTTCTTGGCTATTGTGTACAGTTTATGTGGTACAAAATACAGTAAGTACATATTTTTGTACTATGGCGTTGTACTGCTTGACCGAGATACAGGTGTGTGTGTGTGTTTCTTCCCTCTCCCATCCCCTTCCTCAGTAAGTTCTCTCCACTCTTCCCTTCCTCCTCACAATTTCCTCTCCTCCCCTTCCTTCTCACCCCCCCCCCCACACTCTCTCCCTCTCCACGATCCATTGAGGGTAAAAGCACCTCTTAGACCACTACCTCTCCCCCTCCCTCTCTCCTCCTCCCATGGCTCTTGACCTGACATAACTTCCTGTGACCTTTATGTCTAACCAAGGACCAGATACTCTAAGGTCGTACGTCGTAATACTTGTCTTCGCGATAGTTTGTGAAGTAACTTACCTGCCTGGCTGACTTGAAGGTGACGTACGAACTATTTCACCCAGATGTAGAGAGAAAGAGAGAGAGAGAACTCCTCCAACTGGCCACCAATCCCCCCAATCCTTCCCTCACCTCACACGTAAAACTACTACATATAAAAATGGAAAGGTTTTCTCTTTGCGGCTGTGGCGTGCACCTGGAGTACCTTCCTTCTGCTGCCTCTCCTGCGTGTTACCCAACCGACTCACGAAGGGGGCAAAGTGGCCACCAGCATTAGGCCTCTTGTTCATAATATAATGTGGTGGTGGGGAGGGGGGTGCTCGCTCTAACACGTGAAGACTATATAGGCCCTCCCCCTTCCTTCCCCAGCTTATTTCGTGAAGCCTAGTCTTTCTTCCTTCCTTCCTTCCTCAGCTTATTGTAGTTCACTTGGAGAATAAACACCCTAATGAAACCTGGGGTGGTGGTTAGGTTAGGTTTAGTTACATTGGTTAGCGTTTGATTAGCATTAGTTTAGGTTAGGTTAGGTAAGGTTAAAGGGTGTCTATTTTTTCACGTGATTCATTGACTTGTCCTTATTTTAATATGTATAAACAAAATTAACCAAAATTTAGAAATATTTGTTTAAGTTTGATAATGTTTAATGACTGGTGAAATAATGACAATACCTTTAAAACACCACTATACCTGCAAATTTTAAGTCACGTTTTTATACATTTTCCATCAATAATGACTTAACCTTTTAAACACGTTACTCTTTTATTTTCCATATAAAAAGTCTCTGGTCTAAAAAATGCTTCTCTCTCTTCAATTCCTCTTTTTACTGTTACTCATTTTTTTTTATGTCCAGTTGTTATTACAATCCCCAAGACCATAAACACGCAATTCTAGGATGTGGGATTTTCTTATTAAATATCCCTCAGACTTATTGTTTGACTTATTATTTCAATATAATCCAATAATCATATGTTAATCGATAACATAATAGTAATTTAATACAAGAATCAAATTACTGTATAATCGTTGTGTTCTTCTGCTCTCATGTCCACAAAAAACGTAAAATTACACCATATCAAAGTAAGTTCTTTCTGTTTAATATTCCGGGGGGTCTGGGGGTTGAAGCCCCACGACTAGGAAGTTAGGTTTCTTTGGTTAGGTTGGTGAGGTCTTCTAACATCGCTTCTGCCACTTGTTTTTCTTATCAAATAAGGTTAGGTTAGGTTTAATTTAGAAATGACCACTTTTTAACACATTTGCCAAAACTACAACATTATCCACTTTAAAACAGTGAAATTGCAGCATTTTTTAAAATAATTTTCAATGAAAAATTGGCAGTGGGTCAATTGTCAATAATTACCTTTGTTTGTCATGATATAAAATTAATACTGTATAAGATGTTCAGTGTTGTGGTCACTCTCGACATATCATACAATAGTTGTTGGACTGACATTTGTTACGTTTTTCAAGACATTTATTTGTAAGCTGCAGTCATAACATTACAACAACACTAGAGTAATGATCACTCATAAGTAGTGTAGTTGTCATAAATGGTTATGTATACAAACTTTTCATTGCTGACCCTGTGGTAAAAATAATGCAGGAGCCAGACTCATGTCGGTAGCAACAGCCAGAGGCAAAGTGTCATTAATCTCACTCCATTTCTCCACAGATCCGCCTGTCACGGCAGTACCGGGTGACGGGGATCCCCACACTCGTCTTCATCGACAGTCGTAGCGGCCGCCTGCTGACCAAGGCTGGAAGGGAGATGGTGACCAGTGACCCCGAGGCACTCACCTTCCCCTGGAGGCCGCGACCTATAGGTGACCTCTTGGCCTCCACCAGCCTTGTGGACACTCAGGGTCAACAAGTCTCCTACGACACTGTCAAGGACTCCTACAAAGGCCTCTACTTCTCTGCTCACTGGGTAAGAATATGATTCAGAAATGTCATCATTGAGACAAACAATTGATTCAATAAACCTTGTTCTTACTGAGACACAAAACAGTTATATGGGTCAATTTGTAGTTTCGACCATCCACGGCTCTTGAGTTGAGCAATGTGTTTTTCAATGGTTTAGACAATTTTAAGATACTCTTCTTCAATGACGTTTCCTTCGCAAATGACCTAACCTAACCTCCTAATTGGAGGACTCCGCTCTCCTGAATCCTACGGTATATTCAAGTCATTTGCTAGGGAAACGTCATAGAAGAAAAGTGTCCTAAAATTGTCTTAACCATTTGAAAAACACATTACTAAACTCGAAAGCCGAGCATGGTCGAAACTACAAATTGACCTTTCTATGGATCATAAATGTGATAAATGAATAATACTTTTCAAGAATGTAATAAATGGCTATTATTGTTCATGAATGTGACGGAACTCTCTCTCTCTTGCCTGGTCAGTGCCCCCCATGTAGGGCGTTCACCCCTCAGCTGGTGACCGCTTATGAGAAGATCAACAACAAGGAACACACCTTTCAGATTATTTTCATTAGTTCTGACAGGTAAGTGAGACGGGGGAGTGTGGGAGAGGGAAGGAGAGGGGGAGAACTGTGGGAGAGGGACAAGAGTATGTAAAAGGGAAGGAGACTAGGAAAAGTGTATTATCCAGTACAGCCTTCAGGTGGAATAACTTTGAAATAGTTGGTTGTTAAAGAAACTTGGATAATTATTGATGACACACCTGGCGCCAATTTTGCTCAGGAAATGAATTTAAAAATGCCACAATTTCACTGTAATTTGCAGTGGACACTCATACTTGGGCAAATATGTTGAAATAGGGTTATTTCTAAATTAAACCTAACCTAACCTAAGAAACACAAGTGGCCGAAGCATTGCTAGAAGACCGCAACAAAAATTCAACTCTACCCATACTCACCTAATCTTATTAAATCAAACTTAACCTTTTATAGTTGATAATTTAGGAAAATGGAATACAGTATCCTGAAAAAAACTGCAATGCTTAGGCTGGTCACTTTTGACCCAGGAATCTAACACCAAGACGAAATGGTGAGAAGCAAGTGCACTACCAGTGTATCACCAACACCCAACACACTTTGTTTACCTAATTGGTTTCATTTCCTGCAGGAGTGAGGAGTCATGGCAGACATACCACAGCACTATGCCCTGGTTGAGTATGGCCTGGGAGGAGAAGGATGCCCGTCATGAACTCGCCAGTAGTCTAGAGGTTAAGGGCATCCCAACTTTAGTCATTCTTGGTCCAGACAACTCCATCATCACCATAGATGGGCGCACTGAACTCTCAGAGGATCCTGAAGTTGAGGTTAGTTTTGTGTGTGTGTGTACAGGTGTATGTACAGTTAAATAACGTATACTATTGGTTTTACCTGGCACTTAATACCTCCACTCCACCATACAATGTTATTGTACACTCTCTCCAAAAAGTATCTTTACAATTTTGTGTAAAACAATATGACACAGTGGACAAAGGATTTTGACAACCCTACCAAGACAATAGGAGTCACAGTGTTCATTGTGAAATTCATCATACCCCTTCATAAAGACACATTTTGGAGTGATTGTACAAGTCTTGGAGATGAGGCACAAACTTGTATCAAAGTACTGCAACTTTATTCTATCTCATAAATGTTTCAGAGGTTTAACAAACATAAGAGAGTATTTTTAGCTAGACAAAACTAGACTACCAAATTAATCACTTCATCTCCACAGAGGTTCCCATGGCGGCCACAGAGTGTAGAGGTGCTGGCAGAGCGACACATGTCTCGTCTTCAGGAGAGCCCTTGCCTGGTGCTCTTCACAGGTGAGCACTGGAAGAGCTAATCACAGGTCTCTGCTACACTACATTTTATGTCCCAAGTATCAAAAGGGAAAAATTTTAAATATATATAGCAAAATCTGCTATGCAACCCTAAAGGAACCTCAAACACTGCCATGTAAATTTAACTTAATTTCTAGCTGTCATGTGATAAGAAGCAATACTGATTAATTCACCTCCAGGAAAATTGAATAATCAAAGTGTAGGTATCCACTCAGACTTAATGACTTCCTTATATATAATATTCTTTGTACAGGATGGAGTTTATGTACAGTATTGTACTGGTATCTCTCATTATCCGAATGTTCACTAATGTATCCGTAAATTCACTCATATGAAAGTTGTATTTGTACACCTCTTTTTCACTGTCCGAAAATTATCCTCACCTATCCAAAAGATGGTCCAATTGAAAATTCAAATAATGTACCTGTAAATTTAAATTCAAATTGGCCCATTCCCTCGCACCTTACTATCTGATAAGATATGTACTAACTGTACAGTACAGTGTACTGTATTTGATTTTGTTTAGCAATTACCATACATTAATTAGTTACTAAATTACAGCAGTTAGGTACTAAATTACAGAATGCAAGTGAGGTCAAGTTAAACCCAAAGGCTTTCTACCATTACGCAAAGTCAAAATTAAAGGCACGTGTGGGTGTATCAGATCTGAGACATGAAGATGGTACTCAGACTCAGATCAGGCTAAAGGCATTAAATAAACAGTATTCTTTTCCTCCATATTCACAAGAGAGGATGTGAGCAATCCTTGTGCAATATTCTCCTGCAGATGGGGAGACAACAGAGCTGCAGTTTGGGAGAGATGTTCTGCTGCCTGTGGCTGAGGAGTACCTGCTGGAGCACTCACTGGAAGGAAGTCTCGCTCTGCAGTTTTTCGTCGCTGGGGAGGTATGAAGATGTGTTGCTGTTTTGTTGTCCCAATTGATATGGAAGTTTTTTATTTTTTTTTGCTGTTGTTTTTTTAAGTCGGGCACAAACTCGAGACATTTTGTGGATGTGGTTGGGCAGGGACAAATAACTTACCTTTTATGGTGATATACACACAAGTCTGGATGGTTTCTAATCAGAAATAGGTTTTGTAAGTTTTAAACTACTGCAAGAATTTTTTTTTTTTAGATAAATCACAAAATTCCCAGGGATATCTACTGTAATCTACCTTTGCTGTCTTCTGAACTGAAATGTTCCAATTAGATTTAGGAGAACAATTCAAACATTATGAAATTTATAGGAAGTGTAAATGGTCTTAAAGACAACATTCTTGCTTGCCACAGGATGAAGTTGCAGATAGTGTGAGAGACTTTGCCTGCCTGGAGGACGTGGTGCCCCTAGTGGCCATCCTCGACCTGTCAGAAGGTGCCAAGTTCTTGTTAGAAGATGGTGTTGAGGTCTCCACTGCCACCGTCCACAATTTTGTTACACGGTAATTATACAGTACAGTATTATTAATTATTTGATAAGAGAATTATTACCTCATTATACTGTATATAGGTACAGCAGCTAAAACAACTATCTGTGCATACTTTGTGGGAAACAATATGAGACCATGAACGATAAATTTTGGTATATGAGGGCTGTCACTAATCACACGTAAAATTTCGGAGCATATCGACCCCCACCTGCACAGATAGTTGTTTTAGCTACTGTACAGTATTAATATTCAGTATTCCCTTACTCTTGTAGAATTTCCATCGAGTTCATTTTGGATGAGAAGAATACTTAAATAGTTTTTGTAGAATAGTAATTTATTGTGAGTATATAATTACATATTTCATGATATTTGAAGACTAAAATAGATTAAATGCTGTAATGTCTTGCTTATGAATATAAAAGCTTGATAGTAGATGGATGTAATGTATTTCAGCATTTGACAGTGATACAGTTAAAATTAATTGTTGTGTAATTGTTCAATGTATACTGCAGTACTAAAAAAAAATTTTTACCTACAGGTACACTAATGACAAACTCAGTTCACTGCCCATTAGACCCGTCACAAGCAGTGCTACCAACACAAGCTAACACAGCCTTATGCCTTATGTAGTGCTTTGAGGCAGAGTGATGTTAGGTTGGTAACTCTACACAATATCTTGGATATGATCATATTTGTTATTACATTAATAACTACTATATTGGTTCTTTACAAAGTCCCTTGATGTTTATGTTTACAAGGTCCCTTGATTTTTATGTTTGCAGAGGCCCTTGATACCTATGTTTACAGAGTCCCTCGATGTTTATGTTTGTAAAGTCATTTTATGTTTATGTTTTCAGAGTCCCTTGATGTTTATGTTAGCAGAGACCCCTGAGGAAGTTATACATCCAAAATATGGTTATGTACAGGTATTCATAATTTTCTTCATATAACTTTATAGTCTTTTCACTCTTGACTGTGACTCATATTTGCAGGTGAAATTGTAAAGAAAGTATCACACTCATCCATTATACATTTCATACATTACACCTGAAGATCAGAGACACAGTTGACATTTGGAAGGACTACAGTTATATGCAGTAAATGATGGAGTACTTTACTGTACAAACCCAAGTTTTAAATGTACATTGTTCAAAGAACATTATAAACACAAACAACAAGGGACTTTGTAAACACTGTGTACTGTATAGGTTTTTGCAATGTTACTGGGTAAGTGCTGGATGAATATTAGCTAATAAATTACTGTTCTGTTATGCATTACAGCTGATTTTGCTTGCTATAACATGTATAAAGTATGAGAGATAGACAATCAAGGATAAACACTGACTACTACTGGTAAACAAACCCTCATTAAAAGTAAACACAGAAACTTGTTTTAGAATGATAAGATTTCTATCCATTGATGTCCTCTTCAGCTGTGAGCACAAGAGTAAAACTACAGGTTATAAATTCCAGATAGGTGAACCAAATTGTCTGACTTGTTATGAGAAGAAATGGATTTAAGAAAGAAGAAGTACGGTACTGTATGTGTTGAGAATGAAAGTAGGGAAAAATGGCACAGGAAAAAATTGGCATAAACCCCGGACAACTCCCCCAGGACATAAAAATATTTTAATATTTTTTAAAAGTAAATTATACAGGAGTACATTAATACTGTACTAGCATTATAAATATTTAACTATTACCTGTATACAGAAGCACATATTAACACAAACATAAAAATGGACATTATAAGAGGATCTTCATGCTGTATCTAGCCAAAGTCAACAATCAAATAAAGCACAATAATCTAGAGTTCATAAAATGTTCAAGTTCATTTAGATGTAATTTTATATCCAACTGATGCTGCAGACACTCTGGGGAGGATTTTATTTAAGATGTTGGGTTCCATCTTTTATAATTGTATTTAGATCATATTAATACTGTACAGTATACCTGTATCGTAATACAAGGTGGTGACCGACCCAAGGTGATGCAAATTTTTATTTGACTTGACAAGTGAGAAGAGTTGTCATGTTGGTGCCAAAATTACTGACCATGTCAAATGTGTTGGCCATGTGACCTTAATCTGACCTTTCTTTACCTGAAATCCAAATGATGCTTTTGAAACTTTGTGTCACCTTACTGTTTACAGTACTGTATATCCAATGTAATCAGCATTTGTATTTTTTTTATCTTGTCTACAGTACAGTACAGTACTGTATTCTGTATTATGTATATTGCATTATTGTTGAAAATTCTATTGTAGTAACCTACTAATAAAGTCTGTGAGAGACCTTGAGAAACATATACTATCTTGTGCCACTTTTTTTACATTTGACAAGTGTGCCTTTAATTCCTGTGCCATTTTTCCAAGTACTGTACTGTTGAGCATGGGATGAGGATGAGCTGTTTACCTTGTGTAATAAAGCTGTAAAGATAACCTATGCGCAGGTATGTAAGGACAGTTCTCGAGGTGAGGTAACACTTGATGGTGACTTGACACATACGTCATTGGTGGTACTGTATCAGCAGAGGTCAGAGCTCACAGGTTTACTTTGTATGTACTGTATTGTATTGTTTTTATGTACAGAGTCATCAAAAATGAATACCCAGAATTAAATACTGTATACAGATATAACCATATAATATTTGGGCATTGTTTTTGATGACCCTGTCTGTTTGTGTCAGTTTCCAAGGTTGGCATAAATATTACTGTGAATCTTTCCTACTAACACCTTGACTATTATCTTTATTACTTTGTTGATTATAAAACCAGTTAATGACATGTTTGATTTTCCAATACCTGTACCTTAATTTGGCAATGTCAGTAAGTGTTCTCTTTGTATAGTGAATAACTTGTTTAGTTATTGATGCTCTGTTTTAGGTGTAAAATTATAGAACTAATTAACCAGAGGCAATATAGGTATTAAATTCTTTCCACTCAGGTAATGAGCACTTAAGGTTAAAATATTCTAAAATGAAAGTGGTTACTGGTGAAGGTAATATGTAGTTCAGTCCAGGAAGGAAAGACAGACTTCAACTTCAAAAAAACAATTACCTTCAGAGACTCCAGGGCATTCCTAGGTTTTCATAGGATAGGTTAAAGAAACTAAACTTGCATTCCCTAGAAAGACGAAGAGTGCGGGGAGATATGATAGAAGTATTTAAGTAGGTGAAAGGAATCAATAAAGGGGATATAGATAAAGTTCTTTTAATATCCGAGTAGGATAGGACTCGGAGCAGCGGATTTAAGTTGGATAAGCTTAGGTATAGGAAGGAACTGGTTCACAAATAGGGTGGTGGACGAGTGGAACAAGCTTAGCAACTTTGTAGTAAGTGCTGGAACGCTGGAAAGTTTCAAAAGGAGGCTGGATAGATTCATGGATGATAGAGAGTGGTAGTAACTCTCGACAGGAGCTGCCATGCACAGGCCAACCGGCCTATTGCAGACTCCTTATTTTCTTATGTTCTTATGTCATCCTCATAATAATAGTTGTCAGACTCCTCAGGGGAACACAGGACAGGAAACCCAAGTATTATGGAAAAGTTACAAAGTGTTTTTTTATGGTGTATTTTGAACAATAAAAATGGAAATTTTTATAATTTATGTTGTGTGGTGATTTTTCAGAGGATGTGAACATCCTTTAGCTGAGCTTTATTTAACAAAATAAAAGGCCTAAATCTAATTTTCTGCTTTGTTTTGCAAATTGTTATCTTAACACCATAAAATGCTTCAACTATAAATTCAATTTATAATTGCAAGAAATACATGTTAATTCAACTTTGTTTCACCAAAGTCACTTTAAGAATGATACTTATGAAACATTCACCTCAGCTTCTGATGGCTATGATGTATGTTTGAATATGTATTACAATATTGTTATGATAGTCCATAGGAGTGTATGATGACATGCTGGTGTTATCAAAGGTTACCTGTACTTGTACTTGAGAGTAAGTGTTGTTATGTTACTAATGACAGGATAAGGGAAAATTTAACCCACATGAAGAAATCTTAAACTGTTACTAATATTGTACTTGACAATATAAAGGAAACTAAGATTAGTAGATCACAAGCCATAATATCCAGTTTAATGTTTTATAGTAACAGCTGATGCCTTGACCTGGGATCACCTTCAACAGTGTCTCTCACCTTGTTTGCTACACAAGGGCTAACTTCTTTACTTACTTATTTACGTCTCTTTCCCATTTTTCATCATTTTCATGTTTTATTGCATTGGTGAGCTACATTACCAGGATTATTAAACACCATTTACATGACCTTAGTTTCTACAACACATAACCTTAAAAACTTAATTTGATTACATAGGGAAGTTCTCATAGTCCTCTTTTACTGTACTCTACCTGGACTCAGTGATCAGATAAATGCAATTACATTCTCTGAAATTTTTGTCTGATCAGCCAAAGGAATGAAATGTCACCTTAATATCTCCATCCCTCTAGTTTAATGTGACACAATATTTGAAGCTGTGCTGCCTAAGTTAATTGGGAATGCAGTAAGATTGACAGGTAGATAGACCTTACCTTAAAGCTGTGTCACTCCAGGTAGTTGAGAATGAAAGCCTGACATTTAGATGGACATTATCTTAAAGCTGACTGTACTGTATTTAGTTGGATATGCAGTAAAGTTGGGAAGTAGATAAACATTTGAAACTCACTTTCATGTTTTATTGATATTAAATATTGCAGATTCACATCTCAATATAGTTCACTGCATTGAGTATATTCCTGTCAAATGCGCATATAATTTAGTTTAGGCTATTTGACAAATGTTCAGTGTATTTCCAAGTTTTAGTGTACATTACACTGTAACTTTTATGTCTGTGTATAATCCAGTTTTTACACTAAATTACAAGAATCAACATAACCACAGCTGTTATTCTGTGAATAAACAGTCAATACAAATGAATGTCATAAAAATCTCTATTATTTATATAATTATAAAAATTTATTTCCCATTTATAATGCAATTTATGTAAAATTACAGTATCTTATGTACTAATAATACAGTGTGACTAAGTTTTACTTAATTTTAAAGACATATATTAGTCAATTGTTGATCCAAGAGTTTTGAAGCATAATGTGATAGACGTTCGCAGTGTGTCACTTGCAGTACTGTACAGTATTGTGATTGACCTCACTTCTGGAAGACCCGACCTAACCATTTGGATGTGAAGAGTGAGGTAGTTGAGGAGATGTAAACAAATTACTTGAGGAGGGAGAGAGGAAATACAGTCAGAGGGAAAGTCAGATACAGTCAGTGGGAGAGGAAGATAAATTCAGAGGAAGAGAGATGTACAGTCAGAGGGAGAGTTAAATACAGTCATTATGTCATATAAAATCATACTACATACTGTATCATGAAGAGTCAATCAGTCAAGGATGATTATCATACATTTTAGAGGAAATTAATATTGACAAAAATCATGCAAATTTAATTGGTCATTTAACTCTTATATATTTCCTGTACAGGTACTGTAGTACCTTTTTTCTTAGATGTGGCATATATTTCTTAAAGTTTTCTCAAGTCATTTTACACATTAGAATATACCTATACATATTATATCTACAAGTCTGTATCTATCTCACATATATACAATACCAAACCCTTCAGTATATATGTGGTACTCCAGGTTGTAAGTATACAGAGTTATAGATGTTAAAAAAAAAATCCAGAAAATGAAGTTAACATTTTGGAATTTTGAAATAAGCCCAGTATAATGGTAACAATATACCAAATATAATATCTATCTATCAAGCCATTTTTTCATTGATCTTGCTCTTTCCTGGAGGCTCCCAATATATATTAAAAAAAAAAGATATTGCAAGTTTCCTCACATATGTTATTTTAGATCTTGATACTGTATACATTTCCTTATAGGTTACTGTACTCACGTTATGTAGTTACACTTTGGATTATGTTACAAGTATTCCTTCATGTTTAGTTATATACTTTAGAACACATATCTTGAATCTTTCCTCTCATGTTGGGGCTTTTGTCAGGTCAGAAGATTTATCTATAGTGTTTATTTAGAGGTCATATCAAAGGTTCAGTGTTGGTAGGATTCCATTTTTGAACCCCTACATGTGTGTGTATCTGTAAAGGGGATTTTTGAATTGTGTAAGTGTGTAAAGACTTGTGTGTGTGTTTGGACAGTAAACACACACACACACACACACACAAATTCAGCTGTGTTGGGAAATATATTCAAAGATAACAAGACATTGATTTTTTCAGTCCATAGACACACTATAAATATCTTCTTTACACACACACACACACACACACATACACATACATGCATGCATCCAAACACACACCCATACATACATACATCCAAACACACACCCATACATACATACATCCAAACACACACCCATACCTACACCCCACACACACCCATACCTACACACACCCACAGGTTTTTAGACTGGCATCACATTTAGACACGTGCACACCAAAAACAGTACCACGCCTACTATGATTCTATGATATGACTCTTAAAGAAATGACACGAGTGAGCCAATAATTTGTTACTGCTGATAATATATGTGAATAGGTATTAGCCATGAAAGTATTTCCTGGTCTGCTTAGCTGCTTGTTTCAAAAGTTTTAATATTATAATAGATTTGTGGTTCTGTATTTTATGTATGATGCTACTTCAGTGATTTGTGTTATAATGATTAAGTATATGTTCAGAGATACTATGTATATTTATATATGCTGTATATATATAAACAAAAAAATAATAAAAAAGTTGAATTTTACTTCACATGTTTAACTCGGTAAGGAATTACTGTAATGGTGTAGGCAAGTTGTGTATTTAGTTGAGAACTGTACATTGTGAGATTAATTGTTGCTTTGTGCTGTGGTAATTTTTCATAGGCCCTTCAATAATACTGTACTGTATGTTTGTTATAATAAAGAGAATACAGATCCAATGGGCAAGCTAGGAAAATACAGGTATAGGCTTTGAAGGATTGAAAATCCTATTTTTGGTGGTTGGGTTTCTGTTGGTGTACATTGCTATGGGGTCATCTCCTTAACCCTCCTTTCATACAACAGGAGCGAATCTCGAAACTCAATGACATCCAGGTTTCAAAGCAATCCTAGGCTACTCTAAGTAGTAGTAGGCAGCTACCAACAGGGAGGTACAACCGCCTGGGAAGATATTGGAAGCACTCATTGGAACTTGCTGGGACACTGGCACTGTAGTGGCTCCTCTTCCCTACAACACCCAACTGAGCTCCGGCCGCGCGCCTACCAGCCAATCAGCGTACAGCCAGCTACGCCGAGAGACTAGGTCTATGCAGTGGACGTAGGGGTACGATCACCGACCTAGTCTCGACCTTCAACCTCCAGCTCAGGATCAGAGCGTTTCACACCTTACGCTTAAGCCGCTGTGATTGGCCCTCTCGCTACGCTCACCCCAAATCCTGATCCTCGTAAATTGTATAAATACGGCCATTCCTGGCCAGGGAGACAAGATGTCACGGGTTCGATTCCCGGGCAAGCGGAAGTTGTTTGGACACTCTTCCTAGCCCCCTTGGTCCCTGTTCACCTAGCAATAAAGTAGGTACCTGTTGTAAATCGAAAGGTTGCGAATTCGTATTCAGGGAAAGTTGTTGGAGCTTCTAAACTTGAACCACGGAGACCATTCTACACTCGGCTACCGGACCAGCAACATCTCTCACAGATCCTCACCACCCAGCTTCATCAGAAACCTCCTCGCCCTACAGGACCTCTGAGCAAGTTTCTCCTCACCTAGTCACTCCTCAGCACTGCGCTGTACAGAAAGCGCATTGTGAGTTTCTATCCTACCTCATTCCTGAGTGTGAGATATCTACATGTACGCACGTTTGTGTGTCCATACTAAGAGAATTGACAACTGGCCACATACAGTACGCTACAGCACTCCCTGGGTCACTGGGACTCGCTGGGCCACTCTGGCACTCCCTAGGATACTTTGGCACTCCCTGGGACTCCAGCACTCCCTGGGAGACACTGGCACTCCCTGGGAGACATTGTCTCTCTCTCTCTCTCTCTTTCCTAATCAGCGGTAACCACCCATTAAGGTACGGTAGTTACCCTTATTGTAGTCTGGGAAGTAATTCGTCTCTATTTTTTCATGTAAGGTTTCTTGAGTTAAAGATTAAATTGATTTGAAAAGTATTATATTATTCTTAGATAAAAGCAAATGTGTTGGTAATATTAAATTATTTTTTATATTATAATTGAGTATATCAGTAATGTTGGCAGCCCTGATGCATCAACACGTGGCCATTCCGAAGCTGAACAATACGGAGTACTGCTGTACAGTATTCTTATTTCTATTTATTTTTCTGTAAAGTTTTCCTTATCTTTTATTTTCTACACTACGATATAAATTAATTTGACATAAAATTTGTAGGTACGATTAAGCATGGATTTATTTTTTAATATTCCCTCATTTGGATAAAAATTTGGCGGGAAGAAAACTAGTGATTGGTACGTGAAGGTCCAGAGACTCCAGACCGGCCAGTTGCCAGTAGACACACAAGAGGTAGGAGGCGATGTCTGTCGTCTCTCACTTGACTCTCTGTTTGTAAAATGTGTAGTAAGTTTTAATTTTAGTGGTTAAGTTTATACTAAGGTTATTAATTTGTAGATTTTGTACAGTTTTATTTTAAAATTAAATATTTAAATGGACTTTAATAAAATATTAAGATAATAGTTAATTTATTATGAACAAGCATAGATTAATGGTCGTTAACGCATGTAGTCACATACAGTTACTTTAGAGAATATTTTACTCTGTTTATTTGTTTTTAATTTATGAAATATGATTTAGTTTTGGTCAAAGTACATAAGACTTTGTGAATATTTAAGTAACGGTCCTCATACTTGGTGTATGTTTTGGTCTTGTATGTAACGAAGTAATTTGTTACTCGTAAGATTATTCGGTTAATATTGGTCCATTGGCTGTCCGCAGCTTTCCGCCATGTTTACCTGAGGTTAAACTCCTCGCATTTTAGTTGTCTCCTTTGCCTCTTTATAGGTTAGGTTGTTTGGTCCTTTGGTTAAATGAATGCTTTTTTTTTATTTTTGGTTTTACTTAAATTTGAAATGTTTTTGTGCAAATTTTTCGTTTGTTAAAAACGAAATTTTTAGTTTTGCAGAAAACGCTAATTTGCAAATGAAATAAAGGTCAGATTTGAATAAAAAAAATCCTTTTCTCGTACCAAAACCTGAGAACAGCCAATGGACGAATGTTTAGTTCTTTTCCTTAAAGATGATGGCTCTAGTTGTTACTGTTGTGTTAAAGGCCTGTTTGCTGCATCAGTGGTCGTCAGCGTGGACAGTACAGTGAAGTGGCTTTCTCCCCTACAAACGCTGTTTGTTGCCGAGTAGCCGACCCCACGAATTCTCCAGTGGATGCCTCGTGGTCTAGGTCAACCAGCGCCGCCTTACATGACGGAGGTCAACTACTAAGCCACGCCTACCTCCGCTATTTAAGACCTGACCTCGTGGTAACCTACCTCTCTTTCTACCTACACCAACCAGCCAGCAACACCACCTCCGCCGCTGCCTGGCGGTCCTCGCTCCCGACGGCAAGCATGGCGACCCACAAGCTGTCCTCTGAGCATCCTCACCAACTAGCTCTCTCTACATCACGCTTGTAACCATGCTGCCACTTCCCAGCACCAAGCTGCATTGTACATCCAATACAACGTGTATACAGAGAGCACATTGTGAGTTTGCTTTCTCCATCCCATCCTGAGTGTGAACCCAAACAAACAGCTCACACCCCACAACAGCACCTCCTTATTTAAGGTAAGTTTCTGCAATAATTTTTCGTTAAACACCCAACCCCTTTTTAACCCATGAAAATATATTTTTTCGATAGATTTCTTGCCGTTTTAGAGAATTTTGACATCTCTTCGGGGCAAATCACTATATCCCCCCCCCCCTCCATCCCAACTATGTAGGGGTGATTACTAACAATATTACTTGTTTCAAGTGGGCAGGGCTTTTAAAGTAAAGGGAAAATGGGTAAAATACTAAAAATAACACCAAACCCTTGGAAAACCTGACCTAGCATTTCCTATATTTTAAAAATCTTAAGGTAAGTTTACCTTATTCATGTTTTCGGTATTAAGTAGGTGGTTTTGGTGTTCAGTTGAGTAAGGTTTGTTTGGGGTTATTTTAAGTATTCTACGAAAGAGCGAAGTTGTCACCATAACATCAAATTGGGACTTGGAAAATTTTTTGATTATTACAACAAAGAAATCGCGTTTATTTTTTAATGCCTCGCTGAATTCATGTATGTTCTTTCGTTTTTCGTTGAGATCTATTAAAGGGTAAGGGGAAAAACTCGTTAAAGGTGTGGTGAGTGGTTAACGAAAAATGACAGTTTGTTTTATAGTGAAATGTCAAGTCTGCTTCAATAACTTTCCAACTGAGGTCAAGGTGTGGTCGATCGCATCTGGACACGCTGGCAAGTACTGGCTGTTATATACTGTTGGCATGTAATGGCTGGCCCTCACACTGTCAAACATGTTTGATCATACATCGCCACACATTAACATATAGAACGATCAAACTTCAGTTGGCGCCTCAACACTACGTGAGTAAGGAGGCAGCCTGTATTGCTATGATACTTGCTCTTGAAACGGACAAAAAAATTATGGATGAAGGAATGGCACAAAGACCCCAAGTTCTCTCACGATGTCCTATTAAAGGAACTAGTGGTATCATCTCAAGATTATAAGAATGTTATGAGAATGGGTAATGTAACTTTGGTTAAACTGTTGGAGAAAGTGACGCCATACATAAAGAGGACAGTCTCGAGATGCCACACCAGCAAGTTGCCTTTTTTTTTTTTTTTTTAGGGTAAGGTAGGGAAAGGATGGCAGAAATGCTGGGGCTCAAGGCACAGCCAGACATGAGGGATAGAGAAGTCACGACATATAATCGTGGGGGAAAAGGTTGGAAAAGAAGTTTAAGGAGTTAACAGAGGGACAACACCCCTTGTTTTACATATTAGAGTTTGTTGGCTAACTAAGCTAACCTAGGATTTAGGATGAGGTTGCACAATGGTTACTTTGGTAGACAATGACTAGTTTGATTTTACAATTACATGTTTATTAAAATCTTGTACTGTATTATGTTATGGACTCACTAGATTGACTTGTTAAATGAGAACTTATATCATCTAAGTTTTAATCCATGGTGGATCGTTGTGGTGGACATAGATGGATCGCAGGTTGGGTTGTAGTGCGGGCAGACACCGTGGCCACCAGGCGTGGGGTTGCCCTTTTTTGATGTCTTCCCTGCGTAGGTGGTCTGGGTTGTGTGAGGGTCGTCCAGGAGCTTGTCCCAAACCCTACTTCCGTAGGAGATGGAACCTGACGTTGAGGGCCTCTTGTTTTATTTCTCAGGGGGATGGTTTCCACCTAGGTCCTAGCAACGGGCCAGTATTAGGAGGCCTTCGTTGCAATAGGAATAATTTTTCTTCTTTTCCACTAATTTCCCTTGACATCCTCCTTTAAGATATATATTCTTGTAATCTTTATTGTATTTGCCACAGTCATAGAAGCTGTTTATAAAGTTCAATAAACTGCATAAAACTCTTGCAAGAGTCCTGTGCACTTGCCAGGGCTACTGCTACTCGACTGAGCCTGTTGGAACTTTTTTTTTTTTTTTTTTTTTGCCACACACTACCCAACATGTTTGACATACGTCATGTTGGATGAGAAAATATCAAACTTGTTTAAATCTTCAAACTTGCCCACACACATTGTAACATCAAACACCATGTTTGACAAAATATACGAGTGTATGGGTGCCTTGCACACTATTAGCAAGTACTGGCTGTTAAACACTGTTGGCAATTACTGTGGCATCAACCTTAAGTTGTGACCTCTAGTGGGGTGGGCATCTGCTAGTTATGAACAATCGACTAAGTAATGCCCTATTACAGGTTTATTAAATTGTATTGTCACCCTTGCCTGCCTATAAACTGGACAATGGCATAAACTAATTGGCTTTCCTTTACTAAATATGCCGGTCACTCACTGGCTTATACAGTACTGTAATTATTCATACACGTCATCCATTTCAATATAGTACAGTAGAATGTATATAATCGAGATGTTCCAGGAGAGGTCGTTTTAAATAGAATTCACACTAAATCGAAGGGGTTTCAATGGAATAATTTGGCTTGGTACTTGAGAGAAATGCAAAATATTAAAGACTTTTATTAACTAATAAATGAGAAAAATATATGGCATAATATATATGCAGCAAGCATCCTGCAGTTGAATTGAGAGCTGGATGATACTGCTACTGCGTGTTACTATAATGTCTGCTGCCTCTTGTCACTGGCTCTCCCCGTGCATTTTCACTTTCAACTTTGTTTTTCATTACTTTATCCCATCAAAAATATTGTCACCCACGTTTAGTTAGGCAAGTCATCTTCTGAAGATGCAGAGCCCAACTTGGCCAGCTCATCATCCACATTACTGTCTGGTGTTGTGGAGGCACCTGACACGCAGGAAGCGCTGGATGACGGCCGTGTCCGCCCAGACGTAGATGGGCTAGTTAATGATGTAGTGGCTGGCCTCTTCAACAGTGGGGGATGGTTGATGCACGTGGTGGAAGGAGATAGTGTCACGCGATTTATGAATTAGGAACGATATTTGTAGAACGCGAACGCTTGTTTGCTATAACGCGAATTTTGCTTACTATTTCTCCAATTTTGTGGTACAGTGGGGTATGCTATAACGAATCTAATTGGTTCTAGAACCTTGTTCGTTATAGCATTCGTTTGTTATAGGATTAATCCGTTCCAGGCCCCCAAATACAACCACTTAACACTGAAAAATATAATATAAAATTGTAAAAAAGTGCATAAATATGCATCTAAACCCCTGAAATAAAGAATATCTTTAATATTTGTAATAATAAACAATAAATTAGAAAAAATAAATAAAAAATAAAATAAATAATGTTTGTTGTAGCATTCTCAATTTTATAGGTAAAACCGTTCGTTATAGGAATATTCGTAGTAGGATCCGTTCGTTATAGCATACCCCACTGTATTAACTGTGAATATAGTAAAGAAGAATATCAACAAGAAGCGTTCTGGTGATAGAATTCCTGGTGAGGATCGTAAAAGAAAGGATAAAACACTTGAAGAGAAGCTCGATTTTATCAACCTCAAAATCACCCTTCTCCCCCATCAAGTAAAGTTTTACATTTACTGTATGATTTCATTATTAGATATGAATGTAACATTTATTTAGACTGTGCTATCCTTTGTGTTAGGCTAACTACTAAATTTTTTCGATTTCGAGTAACCTGCACCTAACCCTATTTTCTCCATAAGCCGTTATTTCTATTACGCGATTTTCTATAACACGATATTTTACAAGAACACAATTATCGCGTTATAGCAGAACTACCTGTACTATGTTTAAAACATTTTTATGGTTAAAAAATTTGAATATTAATTTTACATTTTATTTTGTACAGAAATGTTGTTCTGAACACTGGAGTGCCATGCTGCCCTAGACTGTGCTTACTGGCCACTGCCCTGTACTTGCTTGCTACTGCCACCCTGGACTCCCCTGTGCTTGCTTGCTGGCTGCTGCCCTGGATGGCTCTGCCCTGTGCATGCTGGCTGCTGCCCGCTGCCCTGGACGGCTCTGCCCTGTGCATGCTGCTGTCCTAGACGGCTCTGCTCTGTGCATGCTGCTGCCCTGGACTGCTCTGCTATGTGTGCTGCTGCCCTGGACTGCTCTGCTCTGTGCATGATGCTGTCCTGGACGGCTCTGCTCTGTGTGTGCCGCTCCCCTGGACGACTGTGCTTTGTGCGTGCTGTTGTACTGGACGGCTCTGCTCTGTGTGCTGCTGCCCTGCTCTGGACTACTGTGTGCTGCTACCCTGGCCTGCAAATTTATAGAACCATTAAGTTTCCATTAATAAATGTCCAAATGTCACTATGTCTCTATTAACCTTTTCCAGCATTTACAATATTTTCAACTTTTACAGAAAATTGACTAAGTTCAGCTTCAGATTTTGAATCAAAATAATTTAATTAAATACTTGAAAAAATTCTAATTCATATATACAAATATAATATACAAATGAAAAAAATATATAAACTTGAAAAAAAAAAATACATACCATAAATAAATAATATACTGTGTATATATATATATATATATATATATATAAATAATATATATATACAATATATATATATATATATAAACAAAACAGGTATATAAATAAATAAAATATAATAAATATAAATAAAAAACCTATAAAATTAAATAAAAATGCTAAAAATAGCATTTTTCATGAAAAAATTGGCTAAAAATAGCAAAAAATGTCCAAAAAATTGCCTTTTTTTTACCCTTAAGTGTTTTTTGAGTTTGCCATTGCCAGGAATAACGTCGAAAAAATTTGGTAAAGGATAATCGGAAGAGTCTCCGGAGTGAAACCTTCAAATTATCATTCACCAATAATATAAAAAAATACAAGCATAACGGACTACCTGGACGTGGGAAGAGTAACTCAGTAGGGGCCCAGTGAGTTACTCTCCCCACGTCCAGGGTAGTCCGTTATACCTTATAATACACAGATGCCAAGCTGGAGCTCTTAAGAATGGCACAAATGTTTTACCTCTAAAACCACACAAAAATTTATTATTACTCAAAATTTGTCCAGGAATAGTTTTGGCCATTTTTTGGACTTAGAATATTTTTAAACGATGAATTTTTGGACTTAGAATAATTTAAACGATGAATTTTTGGACTTAGAATATTTTAAACGAATAATTTTTGGACATATAATATTTTAAATAATGAATTTTTGGACTTAGAATATTTTAAACGGTGAATTTTTGGACTTAGAATATTCTTAACAATGAATTTTTGGACTTATAAATATTACTGTAAAGCACGTCAAGACCTTAAAAGATAAATACAAAAATATTTAGCATTATCAGATTTAATACATCAAAATAATTCTGACATTTTGCTACTACTATAATATGCAGTCTACTGGGGTATTTACACAGTACGGTTAAATAGGATCGCTGTAATTCGGATTTCGGCTTAATTCATACGTTTCTCAAAAATTTTGTTAAACGATTTGAATTTGGAATGCATATGAAATAACTGAGTGGTTCAAAAAGTTGCCTTGGCTGTCATATACAATATTTTAGTTATAATTATTGTGCAGGTATATATAGTTTTAAAATGTACGTACAGTACAATAATAAAGTAAATAATACAGTAATAAATAATGTGAGGTGAGATCGTGGATGATATTCCATAAGTGTAATGGCCACACTGGTAAATGAAGTAAAAACACTCATTGGAGAAATGAAATTTTGGAGCTGGTTTGACTATAGCGCATTTTTTATCAGCTGAGAAGAGATGCCCCGCCCCCTCCTCAAGAGTTACAGCTGATTGGCTATTTCAAATTTGTCCGATTTCGTCCTAAAGTAATGATGTATTTCTAAATGAGTTTATTCATAATGACCGTTTCTGACGAGAAAGATATTTAGCTAAATTATATAAAGATACATACACTAATTATTTCAAACTTAAACAAATAGGAAGTTTATCAGAAATATTATACAAGAATTAACTGTTAAACTCTGGTGGCAAATTGACGCTTTCGGAGGACGCATTTAATATATACTTATTTTTACCCACAATAAGACACAAATTACATATCTCTTCTCAGCTGGGATAAAACACACTATACGTCCCTCTTCTGCCAACTAACACAACAAAACAAGGGAGAAACACATAGAACAAAGGAACAGTCTCCTGAGTTAGGTAGGTTGGGGATTAATCTTCTTGATGACAGCAGTGGACCCCAGACCTGATCCTCAATGCTATTACACTTTATAAATATCATGTACATATTATCAGTTCACCTCACATTAAGTCTTACATTTATTTATTACTGTATCATTACTGTTTGTACACTTAAAAAATATTTGTTTGTACAGTAATTATAAATAGAGTATTTTATGTGGCAGTCAAGGCTTGATAACTGAGTATGTTTGTTGGTTGGTATAATGAGGAACAACCTGAACAAATTAAACAGAAAACAAATGAACAATTGAACACAAAATGAGAAATTGTTAAATAATGTCAAAATATTCGGAACTCGGTAAGTTTGTATTTTCAGTAGTTCGGTGGACCACAAACGAGACTATACCCTCATTCAGTTGACAAAAAGAGACTCTGGGTCACCCGAATTACTGAGAATACAAATTAACCGAGTTCTGAATATTTTGACATTATTTGACAATTTCGCAATTTTTTGTGTTCAATTATTCATTTGTTTTCTGTTCAGTTTGTTCATATTGTTCCAAGCAACAAACATACTCAGTTACTATAGCAGCACCAACATTTCTTTACAACCTGTCCTCATGTCATTCTTTGCCTAACTCCTGTTTCTCTTGACACAGTTAGTTTCCTCCTTTCTCTCCTGAACCATCTCAGTTTAGCCTCCAGGTACTGTACTTCTCTCTGTTGCCAACCATCTTCCACGTCTCACACAAACTTCTTTTCTCTTTTTATCTCTCTCTCTCCACTTCATAATTCCCGCCATCAATCACACTCAACGGAACATCTTTCATTATGGCCCAGCGTCTTGGTACACTGCCCCTCACTGGCTGTTTCCTAGCCTCTCAACTCACAAGAAAATGTTTCCTTTACATTCAGTTCCCTCACAATTCCCACACTCTCCTTCTTGGAACATCTACCATCTTCCTCTCCCTCCATCTTTAAGTAACACACACACACCCTGTTCTAATTTCCTGACCAAAATGTAGCCAATCTGGGTTTCTGTGCCACCTGCCTTAGGCCTACATGGTCAGCCTACTTGCTCAATTCTTAAACACATGTTACATACCATCCCCAAACTCAAGTGTTCTTTCACCTTCAGTATTCCTTATTCCAAAGCCTTTCCCACCATGCACACCTTCATAACCCAGAACGACAAATTTGGACAAATTTAGAAAATAAAAATGGTTTGTTTTAACGGAGATCACTGCATTATAAACTGTATCTCCTAAAACAACATTAACTGGTAAGACTATAACAGAATAATTGCCGCTTAAGTCACTCAACAGATTTTACAGCAACATCAAATGACACCGAACTAATGAGATTGAATTCCTTCACCAACAATAAAATGTATTTACGGTTTAGCTTAACATAAATGGTAAATATATGTGAAGTACCTGAACGGTTCAACAGTCTCACTAAATCATATTAATTCTAAAGTCCTTAAAAACACAAAAGGAAATAATTTTGTTCTTTAATTTAAAAGATAAATTTAGCCAAATTATACCTCGATAAACAGAGAGAAATAAAGGTGTTCTGGTTTATAATTAAAATAAGACAAATTGTCAATCTTCCAGAGCCACAGCTAAACACCTCAATTTAATATTGACCTCCACCTCACACTGGCTCACACTACAACAGAGTAACACCTGTGATGAAACAACATTATCAGGGAAAAGATCAAAATATTTACATACACTAGACCACTTTAGATAGATAGATATATATTTATTATGTAAACTTATCATATAAGTTTACAATTGGTTCAACCTGCATATAGACAATGAAGGTATACAGTTCAGCATGTATATAAGCAATACAGGTATACAGTTCACCATGTATATAGACAATGCAAGTATACAGTTCAGTATATTGTATTAGCCTCTGTCACAATAATATTATATAAATATGAGCTAAGGACATATACTCATTATATACATTCTATCACCCAGACTATTGAGCATACAGCTACATAAGCATTTGTTCTGTCACACCTCCTAGGGTGTACAGCCCATAATCATTTGTTCTGTCACACCTCCTAGGGTGTAAAGCCCATAAACATTTGTTCTGTCACACCTCCTAGGGTGTACAGCCCATAAACATTTGTTCTGTCACACCTCCTAGGGTGTACAGCCCATAAACATTTGTTCTGTCACACCTCCTAGGGTGTACAGCCCATAAACATTTCTTCTGTCACACCTCCTAGGGTGTACAGCCCATAAACATTTGTTCTGTCACACCTCCTAGGGTGTACAGCCCATAAACATTTGTTCTGTCACACCTCCTGGGGTGTACAGCCCATAAACATTTGTTCTGTCACACCTCCTAGGGTGTAAAGCCCATAAACATTTCTTCTGTCACACCTCCTGGGGTGTACAGCCCATAAACATTTCTTCTGTCACACCTCCTGGGGTGTACAGCCCTCGCTGTTTATTTTTTCCTTGCCTCCTAGGAATGCAGCCCGTGCTGATGTGTTCTATCACCTCCTGAGGTGTACAGCCCGCAAGCAACCCCATTCTGTCACACCTCCTAGGGTGTACAGCCCATAAACACTTGTTCTGTCACACCTCCTAGGGTGTACAGCCCATAAACATTTGTTGTCACACCTCCTAGGGTGTACAGCCCTCAGTGTGGTAGGTTATTTAGTTAATGACCTGTTGAAGTGTGGTTACCTTCAAACCACGAGTCACCAGACTCAAAAGAGTTCAGCCCAGTTCACAGCCCGACACAATGCCCTAAAGTCGTGTCATGAGACCAGCTCTCCGGGCTGTACCTCTCTCTAAATATATCAGCTAATTACAAGCCAATAGCTAATGCTCATTAGTCTGTCAATACCAAATAATTGTACAGACATTACTACCCAATATAACTATTAAATCAGCACGTGTGTTTACATTAAATCAAAGGTGACATGACGTGAGATGACCTGATGTCTCACTTAGCTGTATCAAGAGTGACATGAAGTGAGATGACCCGATATCTCACTCAGCTGCATTAAAGGTGACATGACGTGAGACGACCCTATATCTCACTCAGCTGCATCAAAGGTGACATGATGTGAGATGACCCTATATCTCACTCAGCTGCATCAAAGGTACCAGCGACTAACCTACACTCGTTCAGGCAAGTGTTAACAAGTGAGATAGTTTGGTATCTTACCACAGCTAAAACAATATAGACAACACAGGGATACAGTTCATCATGTATATAGACAACACAGGGATACGGTTCATCATGTATATAGACAACACAGGTATACAGTTCAGCACATATTGTGGAAAATGTATAATTCCATGTAATAAATGTGAATTGTAAATTAAACCTGGTAACAACCTGCCCCGTGGAGCCTTGAAGCAACTATCCTCATTTACTCAGTGAGCATTATAGAGGAACAGTCCTTAGTGTTCCTGACCTGCATCTGATAATGGCTGAACCGCATCATAAAGGTCAAAAGTAAGTAATAAAAAATGGCCCTGTTATTAACCATCAAGTGCCGTTGAGGACGTCTTCATTGTGACCTTCTGAATACTGCCAAGTTAAACCTTTTAATGAAGGTTTTCACTCCCTGCAGTAGTTTGTAACAGGTGGGTCAGACCTGCACAGTACAAGACTCACACCACCGACTTAACACCAAAATATTTATTATTGTCACCTCAGAGATCCACTATATACTCACACAATAATAATTCTTGGCTTTTCTACAATAAAGGCCAGAGGGAAGATGGAGTGGCAAGAGAAGGCCGCCTTATAGTTGTGTGCGATCAAGACTCATTCATCAGTGGCATAAATGTTAAAGCTCACTATGGCCAAGTCAACATTAAATTAGGATTCACCTTTGTATAAGTAAACGTAGCGACGTCATAATTACCAGAATTGAGCCGTTTGGGCAGTTGGTCTGTTAAAACTATACAGTATGGGAGGAAACTGTAGAATTGTACCTGGAGAAAACCTGCCATGTTTGTTAGTGAGGGTAACATCTGTCCCAGGCTGGGGAATGAACCCAGGACACGGTGATGCACCGCTAAAGATATACAACTCCTGATATATCTGAGAGACAATCGCCAGTGTTTTGGTATAAAAACAATAAACAATATTTTCTTGGTTCTATATCATTAAAGTGGTCTAGTTGCTGAATATATTGGACATTTTCCTGCAAATATTTGTATTCCAGGTATTAATCACATGCATTGTCAACTGTCTACCATGGTTAGTACAGTAGTTCTGTGTACAGTATATATAAGATAGATATACTGTAGACAGATGGACAGAAAGATGTAAAGAGATATACCATATTTCCCACCATATAAGACATATTTTTAACCTTACAAATGTCTCCATAATTCACCCTACATCATATACACCAGGCCAAGCTGTGTTCTTGTTATTTTTCAACTCGTACTTTTGGGTAGATATACGTAGTTTTATTCACTTTTTTAGCAGTTACATGCACACACAAGCTTTCTTTGACTTAGTCAAAAAATTAGTATCAAAAGGTAAAAAAACACACAATAAACTTTTATTACGTTGTCAGGAGTCAGCCCATGAGGGAGGAGCACACCCCTGTCTCCCACATCTTTAGTGAAACAGTTGTCAAATGGCATGCAGTATTTTTTCTTTCCTTTTATTTATTATTATTATTTTTTTTATTCGTTCCTCTCGTTGGCGAGGGTCAACTGTACTGTACAGGTTATGGAACACATTGCAATTTTTCTCATTTTAATATTTGTTCCTTTTATGAAAGTTTAGTTTAGGTGAACTTTCTTGAGACTATAAACCTTTCATGCTATATCTGTGGTTGCCTTTAATATGGTGAGAAATACAGCACAGTAGTATAAATAGATAGATAGCCTGAAAGAGACAGACAGATAGAACAAAATCATCACCATCCAAATCATACAGCCATTTTCCCATGCCATCTCTTGCAGTCTGTCTTGTCAGGTTCTAAGATCATTTCTTACAATCTCTCCCCATGTCATTCTTGGTCACCTACCACTGGCTCTCCTCCTCACCACATTTAGACAAATACGCCACTTAACCCAGCTGGTCTCATCCATTCTCCCCACACTCCCGTTCTCGGTCTACTGCACTTATACGTAAATCTTGGCCGATACTCTCAATACCCAGCCGTCCTCTTAGCTCTGAACGGTGATTCTTATCTTTCAGCGTCACAGTACACATACACCTCACCATTCTCATTTCAGCTCACTCAAGACTGCATATGTCATCCTTTTTAACTGCCCATGTTTCACTTCTCACACCAGTTGTATACATTCTTCCTTTCATGTGATGGGAAAGTCCTCGTGCTGACAATAAAGACAGGAGTTCCCAAAACTTCCTCCAGCCTTTAATGACTCTTGAAAATGAACAGCACCCCATCCAGTACTGATCATGTCACCCAGGCAGCAGAACTCACCCATGACTCACAACACAGCAGCCTTCAGCACCCCCTCCAGCACTGATCATGTCACCCAGGCAGCAGAACTCATCCATGATGCACAACACAGCAGCCTTCAGCACCCCCTCCAGCACTGATCATGTCACCCAGGCAGCAGAACTCATCCATCATCCATGACTCACAACACAGCAACCTTCAGCACCCCCTCCAGCACTGATCATGTCACCCAGGCAGCAGAACTCATCCACACAGTCTAGGGATAATCTTCAGTATTGAGTTTCTTCAGTCTTGCTGTTGACACATACTTACCTGCACATGCACAACACTTACAGTCAGCAACATCCTGCAGTCTGCCATCCACTCCACTGTACCTCTTGTGTACCCACCTTCCTCACTCACTGTACCTCTTGTGTACCCACCTTTCTCACTCATTGTACCTCTTGTGTACCCACCTTCCTCACTCACTGTCAGTATCTTTCTTACTGATAGCATAGATATAGATAAGGCAGATACTTGTATAGATAAAGAGTCTGACAGATGATATAGATACCAAACAGACAGACTGACTGACATACAGGTATTGAAAGAATGGTAGAAAGATAAAGAGATAAAGATACTTAAAGATAGACAGTTAGACAGACAGTTAGACAGACAGACAGACAGACATACCTGTAACAGCAGTGTTTCCATGATCCAGTTGTTAATTTCTCAAGGGTTTAGTCGTTACTCATCTGCAACAAACAAAGAAAAAACATTTAATATACACAACAGTTCATGATAAAAATATGACCATAAATAATCGTCATTCACTCCAGAAATTGTTTGTTTTCTGCAAGTTTGATTTATGTGAACTTTCTTGGGACCGTAAACTTTGCCTGCTTGACAAACTCTGTCATTTTTGCCTTAACATTCCCAACAAAATTAGTGGTACATTAATACAGTAGTTTAGACAAATAGACAGGTAGATTGGGTGATAGACAGACATAAAGAGATGAAAATATTAAAATAGATACAATACTGACAGATATAGATAAGATGAATAGATAGATATTCTGTACTGTATATAGATTGACAGAGACAAATACTTGGGTAAATTTATATTTTCAACCAACAAGGCTCTCGAGTTAAGCAATGTGTTTTTCCAATGGTTTAGACCATCGATTCCCATATATGGATTCACAAGATGCATCATAAAGGTGTCACATACAGGCATCCCCCAGGTTACGGAAACTATGGTTACGGAAATTCGCTCTTACAGATTTTGTAAATTATGACCAATAAATTTGAGTTATGGACAAAAAATTCGCCCTTACGTTAGTACCTAGATGGGTGCTGCCTGGCCTTAAGAAGACCACATGCTGCTGGCATAAAGACTTTACGGAAATAAGTATCTCATGGCTTTGGCAGCTGTCTTTGGTCAAATTATTTTAATATTATCTTTCTTACTTCGTCAATATATGACTGTCCATGTCTGTTTAAAAAGAAAACGATTTGAAGCATATTTTCAACAGTAATCGTTACAAGTATTTTATGTACTAGCATTGTGAGGTATAATTTACCAGTTTAACATAGAATATCAGATTAGGTGTTTCCTGCATCAAGTGTTTCAATATCCTTATCTTGCCTTATCAACTTAGCTGGCCACTCATCACATATTTTGGATGCTATAATGCCGGCCACAAATATGAGGGTTGCAGACCGCTGGTTTAAACTCTGGCACTCTGCTAGTTTTATTATGAACTCACATAGTTTAAATTGCCCCCATGGTCAACAGCCTGGGAGCCACTGACTGAGAAATAGATAGAAAGATATAAAAAAGAAGACAGACAGACAAATGACTAACATGAGCACAGTTACAAGAACTTGTCTTAAGAATTTGAAGGGCACAAAGATTTACTGTTTAGGCTATGAGAACTGCTCCTATAGTTTACCTTGCCATAGGTGGTGGTGCTAGTAGTGGTGGTGGCATTGGTGATAGTGCTGGTGACAGCTTTCGTTCGATGCGCCAGTTATCATTTTCAGCTGTTATGGAGCAGCTCAATTTCCCCAAGTTTTGTTGTAACATCTCCTGTAACAAATAAAATATTACATTTACTATAAAAAACTTGGGGAGGTTAAGTCAGGTTAGGTTAGACACAGACAGCTGCTGTACCATCTATCACTATCATCTTAGGTCGTATTACAGTTTCAGCCACAAATCGTTTAGAGCAATTTTGTGTTTACCATTAGTTATATCTCGTCAATAGGAACAACTTTTTCAAATTCCACTTTCTGTAAGAAATTAACACAACTCTGCAGTCACCGCGTGTCGTCTGTTTACAACTGACCCACTCGGTCTGAGCATACTGTACTGTACAGTCAGTCCCTGACTTACGACGGGGTTAGGGATCGACGTAAGTCGTAAGTCAAAAATGCAAAAATAATACATACATAGAAAATCTAAAATGGGTGTCTCTTTTTCTTCTCAGTACCACAAAAACTCTCACTTTTACGCTTACCAGCCATTTTAAAGGGAATTACAAACAAAAATTTTGTCAGTTCACAGCGCGATCACTGACGTCGGGACTCGAAAATACATAATTTGAGAAATATTTTATACGACTGGGGCGGTCGTATGTCTGGGTGGTCGAAAGTCGGGTAGGTTGTAAGTCGAGGAGTACCTGGACTCTCATGTCCACAAAATACAAAATTACCCGTTACACCATAGCACTTCAACAAAGTTGGTTTCACTTTTACCAGATATCAAAATACTCCCACCTTAAGTACTTCTGTTTAATATGGCGGGGACAGCTAGGAAGTTAGGTAAGGTTAGGTTTCTTTGGTTGGTTAGGTCAGGTTCTGTAGAGGGGAGGGGTGATACAGTGATATCCCCGTTAACCGGAACAATTGGTGCAGAGCACTTCCGGGAACGAAAGATTTCCGGATAACGAGACGACTCTCTCAAACCCAGAAAAAAGTCCCTCATCCCTGGAATTTTCCAGGTAACGGAAACATGTTCTCGGGAGTTCCACAAATTATCCATTACATCATCTCTAGAACACGGAAAAATATCCCTCATCCATGGAATTTTACATATAATTGAAAAATTTTTATCGGAATTTCCAGAAAATGCACCTAATTTTCATCTCTCAAACCCGGAAAACAGCTCCCCCATCCCCGGAATTTTTCGGGTGCCAGGAAATTTTTCTCAGAATTTTCCGGAAAATGTGCCCCTCTGAAAATTTAAATTCCGGCTATCGGAGAGTTCCAGGTTTGAGGGATTCCGGCTAACGCTGATATTACTGTAACTCCAAAACCACTCATTTCCGACGGATATGAAGGTAAAATTGGAATGGATCACACCAAATACCATGGGAATAAAAAAAAATTATGGTTGAAGAGTAGTTGTGGCTGAAACTGTAAATTTGCATTAAGTTCAAACCCATCTAACACGACTCCAAAACACGACATACTAGTAATAGTTTCCTACCAACGCCAGCATCATCCCGGACCAGCACGGGCCAATATTTGGTAGTTGCCAGCACCTGACTGAATATTGAGTCATAGACAGTATGGGGAGAGATAGAACAAAAAAAAAAGATTCTATAACGTTTCCGTTGGAAATTTATAGTTCACGAGTTATTTTAATTTTTATTTCATAATACTAGCCCAATCAGTGTGAGTGTTGATGTGATGTCATACTCGTGCGTTAATCAGCGTTTGCGGGCAATTGGAAGATGGCGTCTGTGTGAGATGGATGTACATTAGCTGACTGCCGCATTATTCAGCACATTTTTGGACAATGACGCAGCAGCCATTGACATTTTTAGGGCTCACGGTGGTTGTTTCATCTGTAAAGTGTCGGAGATGTAATTCAGAGTGTCAGTACCGTCTAAATCACCATGCATGGTACTGTGGTAAGAGACAGAAACTGACGGCCACTTCTTCATTCAACTCACATCTCTCTATCCTCCTGTGTCTCTTACTTAACTCTTAAGACCCGGATTTGGGTGCCACCGGCCATACCCCACACACCCAGGGGAAAATAGAGAAAAATCTACTTTTCCAAAAATAGCTTTTAACCTTTTTAAATTATAAAACAATAAAAAAGGAAGAAAAACTATAAATATTGACCTTTACATCTCCTTATTTGGAGTATTTCTAGCCCCATTTCAACCACGGGGCAAAAAATAACTTTCAAAATTAATTTAAAATTTGTCCATACTTTTTGGGGGATAACTCTAAAACGGGCTACTTTCCCCCAAAAAATAAAGATCAAATTCAATTAAACACAAGATAAACTAATTTCTAAACTACTTAATCCTATTGGCCCAAACTGCTAATTTTACCAAAAGTCATATAACCCCTGCCTAAATGTTCAGCAAGTCTCTTAACTTGTCCACACAACAATTGTAAGGCTCACTGTATAATCCCTGCACACATCTTCTCCATATTAATACACAATCCTGACAATACAATAAAACAAAATTTCACTCACAAGTTACAACTCAGCTGCTGTGTTTACATGGGGGACAGTAGAGCCAACGCTCCCAGTGTCAGGGAATAGTATTTACCTTATATTTATTTTTTAAACGGTCTAAAAATGATAAAGTTACTCTATAATATTATATAATATTATTAATTATCTTAAATTGTGTAATTTTTTTCACTATGTGTTATTCGCCAATGCCTTAATAATTTTATATAAGGCCTCCCTCAACGAAAGATATCTCACAATATTATTATTCAATTTTTCAATTTCAATTGTTTATATTATTATTGTTATTTTTATTGTTATTTTTTACGGGGAATAGCTCACCCGGTACAGGTCATCGACTCACATCGGGGCATGGGGGCGGAAAAATAAGAATAAAAAGAAATTAAAAATAGAAAAGGAAAAGGTGATATTAATCTACATCACGAAGATGCCGGAAAACCAGCTTTTTAAATTGAGACATTGTATGAGTGTGGAAACACAGAAGAAGGCAGAGCATTTCACAGTTTGGCTGTGTGAGGAAAGAAGGATGTACTATAATGGGTTATTCTAGTGTGACCGACATCCACAGAGAAATGGTGGGCACCGCGGGTAAGACGAGTGTTACGAGCTCATGGCTCTGCTACACCGAGCAACTTCTGGTCCACTACACCGGGCTTATATTCAGGCCCGGATTATCCATTAGGCACAGTAAGCATAGTGCCTAGGGCCTACGAGATATTGGGGGCCTACGAAAAATAAAACGAAAATTTTTCTTCCCCTTTTTCTACATGTTATTATTAAATTGATACTGAGGTACTTTTTTCCATTCATTTATTACTTAATCCTATTAGTGTCCACCAGCTAGCTGTGCTTCTTGTAAACAAAACTATTTCTGTACTGTACAAGAACAGCTGATCTAACCCATTTTCTTTTACTCAATTCATGGCAAACATCACTGAATCTTATTCTCTCGACATCACATTTTATAATTAGGTACTAGCTTGTGTTATTAGTGAATATGCTGTCAAATGGGGCCCCATATCTTGGAGGTGCCTAAGGCCTACGAAAGTCTTAACCCGGCACTGCTTATATTAGAGCAAAATTACATGTATGATTTATTATAGTACTGTTAGGGTGCCAAAAAGTGGACAATGATAGGCCGCGTCCATAGTCTGTTTATTAGCGAAGGTGAGAAGGGGGAACTGACATGTCCACACATCTTAGAGGCTGAACCGGAAGTCCGAAACTGACAGTTGAGCTTCTGCCGTTGGCGGACCCATACACTGTTGCCCAACTTGCACATACCTCCCCCCCCCTATATTGCAAAGAACCCGTCCACCCCCACCCCGGAGCAGAAATAAGACGCGTCAACAGTCACTCGCTCAGTCTCGGTATGTTCACGTTCGATCGCTTGGGTGTGTTGTATGAGAGCTGCTCGGCGTGACACTCATTTATTCATATTTATCATTGGATTTTATGTCTTTACTAAGTTTACTGTGCATTGGATGAATATGATTCTATGCTTTAGAGTTATGGTATAACGTGAATTTGGGTAACTACAAATATCTACCAGTCTACATATGCATGAAATTTGTGAATTTATGATATTTATCATATTCAATTCTGCATTTCAGGCTTTCAGTTTCAGTTATTAAAATAATGAGTGGCAAAGGTTTAAGTGGAGCTGCTAAGCGCAAAGCCAGAAAACAAAAACAACAGTATTCTGCTGAACTTAAAAAAATAAGATTTCATTTTTTTTAATATAAACCAAAGTGAGAAAAAAGACTTGCCACACTTTAGTACCTCGTTTGCTGATGCTACACCTACAACTGACCAACTAAACGAAGAGGACTTACCTGGCTGTAGTACCTCGTCTGCTGAGCCTGATGTTGCACCTACAAGCTACAACTGACCAACTAGACGAAGGGTACTTACCTGGCTGTGATACCTTGTCTGCTACACATACAACTGATCAATCAAAGAAAAGTGATGAAATTAAACGGCATGATATTCAGTACATTGAAACTGATCCTGGGAAATGGAGAAGACCAATATCACAGGAACTTCAAATTTACTGGTCAAAGGCTGGGCCAGATACTAGTCAGTATCATGACTCTGATTTTAAAGGAACATTAAGAACGTATGGCTCAGGTGAACATCAGAAACGCTGTTTCCTCTCTAAGTCTGTATTCAGTGCCGAATTAACCATGAGGCACTGGCCTCAGGTCCCCCGACTCTAAGGGGCCCCCAAATTCAAACATTCTCGAAGTTGAAACATATAAAACATGAACTTCGTTCAACGATGTCCTAGCAACGTCTCAATTTTCTGTCTCTTATGAACATTGAATGTGTTATTTTGCATTAGCTTAATATTGATGAAATCATTGATAAATTTTGGTATATTTTGTTCTTGCTATATAAATATATACCTTGAGGGTAGGGGCCCCCAAGTTGATGTGTGCCTCAGGCCCCTATTAAGCTTAATCCAGCCGTCTGTATTCTTCAGAACTTTGAGTAATGGCGAATCAGTAAAGAGAGAATGGTACTCTTCTCTAAATCACAAGGTAAACTCTACTGTTTCACATGTTTGCTCTTCTCTAGTACATCTACAAGTTCACCATTTGTGCATGGTTTCAATGACGACATGCTCCAGTTCATGAAACATCAGAATTTGGAAGCATTTTTTACCAAATGTCAGCATAGCTTTGAGAATATTTTTGTCATTGCATGTCACTGTGTGAAACAGAACGCATTTTCTCAAAAATGAAACTGGTGAAAAGGGAAAGGCGTGCTACAATGAGCCAAGATAAACTGAACTGCCTTACCAGCATGTCCATTGAAAGCGATCTAACACGTGTGATTGACTTTGAAGATGTGGTTTCCCAGTTTGCTGCTATGAAAGCTCGAAAGGCTAACTTTTAGTTAAATACATCTATAAAGTACTTCATCTAGATACAGTTGTATCTTCCAATAAATTAATTAAAATCACATTATGATTACTATAATTTTGTCAGATTTTATTTTATTGAAAGGTAAATTTTTGTTTCTGAGTAATCTAAGTACGACTGCTGGTAATGAATGTATGCAACTTAAAACTTAAAGAGAAAACACTTGAAATGGACTTATAGTTTGTTATTTTATAAGTTGAATTCACAAAAAAATCATTAAATAAACTACCTTCATTTGAAATTTACAATGTCTTTCTTCTTCCTGAAAAAAGTTGGGTCCTAGATTGTCTTGATGTGGCCCTGCCGGTAGCTACTGACTTACATTACCGCTAGGTAGGAAGGTTTTTGGTTTGTAAACTAATTCAATTTTTTAAGATATAATATTGGGTTGTAGTTAATTACTAAATTTAAGTAATTAGGAGTTTTTATGTGAACCTATTTCATATTGTTAGATATGATATTAGGGTGTTCTTGTCATTGGGAATCAAATCCTAAGCAGGTACTGTACTGTACGTCCCCATATGTGTCGGTGCACCATCCACTGTAGGTGATTTTGAACTCTTTTTAGGTAAGCTATTTTCTTTTTGCTGATGTTTGTAAGTGCTAGCTCTCATAATTCATTGCCACCTATTACATATGCATTGTCCTAGGTACTAGCATGCTATCCATCATCTCTAGTATGAACGTTGATGCAATATACTAGCATCATTTAGGGCATCTGCTGTCTGTTTATTATCCTCCAGAGCCACGTTGTTTTTGTCTTTTAGAAGGCGAAAATCATTGACCGGTTTGTTACGCTCTTGGGCAGTCGGTCACGTCTTTGTTGTACACTGGTGACAAGTACTGGGCATGTACTGGTGCCAGGATGTGTCCGTGCCAGTGTTGGTAAAGTCTGATCTTGAATGAACTCACTTAAGTCATAACGCTTTCTGTCAGACTTTCAAACGCTTATAACCCTCACTCCGAAAAATTTTGCTGTGACAATTATTTTTGACCTTGTGGCGTTTTTTTTTACCTCTAGTGGAATTACTTTTTACATAGTACAGGGTATTGCAAAATACTGTATACAATACTGTACTTGACTACAATGGATACTGTATAGCAATGTGGTGACACAAAGTGACATCATTCCTTGTCCAATTGTACATACATTGTAGGTGTTTCGTGTAAAATTATTTGATTTTTCTTTACTTTTGTGACAGATGTTCCCATGATGGCCTCAAAAGATGAGCAAGAAAAACATCACCTAGAGCAGTTGAGGCACACTCTTAACATGACAATCAGCAAAACTAAGTTGCTATTGGATGAACTAGTTGGCATGGTAAGTTTTTTAATCACTCCTATGTATTGATTGGTTAACATTAGGAACAATAAAGTGTTTAAATACCTTTATATTATATATATATATATATATATATATATATATATATATATATATATATATATATATATATATATATATATATATATATATATATATATATATATATATATATATATATATATATATATATATATATATATATATATATATACAGTATATATATATATGTGTGTGTGTGTGAGAGAGAGAGATATCTCCATTAGCTGGAATAATTGGTGCAGAGCACTTCTGGGAATGACAGATTTCTGGGTAACGAGACAACTTTCTCAAAGCCGTAAAAATCCCTCATCCTTGAATTTTCCGGATAACAGACAAATTATTTCGGAAATTCCAGGAATTGCCCATTACATCATCTCCCAAACCCGGAAAAACTCCCCTCTCCGCAGAATTTTCCAGGTACTGTATCTGAAAATTTTTCTCAGAATTTTCCAGAAAATGTGCCCTTCAGAAAGTAGTAATTTTCCGGAAAATTACGGCTTTGGGAACGATTTTCCAAGAAAATTTCAATTCTGGCTATTGGAGAGTTACGGGTTTGAGAGATCTTGGCTAACGATATATACAGTATATATATATATATATATATATATATATATATATATATATATATATATATATATATATATATATATATTTATATTATATATATATATATATATATATATATATATATATATATATATATATATATATATATATATATATATATATATATATATATATATATTTTTATATCAGTTGTACACAAATGTGTGTGAAGAATTCTTGCAATTATTGCACTTGAAGAAGGGTATAAATTTTATCTCGAGCAGTTACTCACTGTTAGTCCAGGATACATACAGTACAGGTGCAGTACTGTATACCTATACTGGTTGATTTTTTTCATAAAATTTTAATAAATATATTTTCCTAATTTTATTGTTTTTTATAATTTGACAGATGTATGATAATACTTGTGATGTCAAGTTATTGTCACATAATGAATTTCCACAAATGGGTCCAGAGGTGAAAAACTTCCTGCTGGAATTTATAAGTGTCCAAAAGTCCATACAGCAGAGGATAGAAGAATGTATACACCATTATCTGCTAGGTTTGTATCATTATGTTTCTTTTACATTAAATTTCTTTAATCTTGCAGTTGGATGCAAGTTCTCACATCATATTAAGGTAATTTACACACTACAGTACATACACATCTTCCCACCAACCACTAACAGCAGAGTTGTTTGATTAAAAACAAGTTGATTAAAATCTTGATATAAATTAAAAGATTTTTTTCAGTAATTGATTAACTCACAGTTTGGTTTTTCTATGCTAAATGCAAAAGAAATTGGTAAGAATTAAGCAGTTGCTCATATGCTGCATTGCTATAAACTAATCAGCCAAAGAAGCAAAGTATTGTATGCCTTTGCCACAGTAGCCTACATAATTAAACACAAGAAACCTTCACTTTTGTAATGCTCACTATTCAATGTTCTCACAACAGAAGTTACAATATTCGTTTTATAACTGAAACAATAAGTACAAGTTTAAGATTAGTAACATCACTTTCCTACCCTACATGTTTTAGTGTACTTTTCTGTACTTTACTTTACATCTATTTCAAACATGTAGGAGTTGTAAATAAGTATTAAAGGCACTGACAACTTGTTTTAGACTTACTTCAGCATAGCAAATAGGAAAACAACCAAAATCAACTAAATCACAACACTTTTAGATACAACATGACATTTGATATTTACCTTGTATAAAAATACAATTCTAACATCTTTTAGTCCTTGCTACATTTGATTTAATTAAGCATCTTTGTAACCACGATGAGTGTTTGCATTTAAAGGCTTAAAAAGAATGACAAGTTTTGCTTCTTTTTCTTTACCTAGTTGGTTCCTTAGTTTCGAATGTACAAGTTCATGGGAGAAGAAGACTGGGAACAGTTGTCGGTCAACAAAGGGAATGGTAATTACTGCCCCCACACACACCAAAAAAAAAACCCAGCTGGGTGCACTCGCTGTGCTTGCCATGTTCTTCCACCCACAAATTCTTGGACTCCTCCCCAGTTGATATTCCTGGATCCGCAGTGCTGGCAATAAATTCCGGCTGTACAGTAGTAGTAAGGTTCCATTAACACGAAAATTTGTGCCTTTTCATTTCAGTTGTTATTCACCATATTCTACTTCTATGGGAGTAATTTTCTGTTGTACCATAGTTTAATTTATTAATGTATGTGTTTTGAAGAAGCTTAGAACACCACCATTAGTTTTTTGTTTTGTTTTTGCAGATGAAAGCATCAAAAGAGAGGAGCCTTCATCATCATCTGAAAACCTGGATGAAGATGGGAGTTGTGACTTGGTTGCTAATTGTAAAATTGCACCTAAACACCACTCACATCAAGTGGAGGAAGATTCATTCGGTGATGAAATTACAAGTAAACAAACCAAACTTATCCACAATGAAGGTGTGAATTATAATGGCCGTGGTGCTGATAAAATAACGGAAATTTGTCATCCCGGTGGCAAAGATGAAAATGCATTAAGTTACCTTGTAGCAACACCTGTTTTCTTGGCTACTGATTATCCTATAGAGGTTTATATAAGTGCAATTGGACCCTTCAACCTGATTTGGATACAGATTCCAGGCTCAGATGTTAATAAAATGACTGAATATTTAAAGTAAGTGTTGAAGTTTACTTGTTCTCCCTCCTCCACCATAAATGTTTTCCCTCCACCTTAAGTGTTTCCCTCCACCTTAAGTGTTTCCCTCCACCATAAGTGTTTCCCTCCTCCACCATAAGTGTTTTCCCTCCACCATAAATGTTTTCCCTCCACCATAAGTGTTTCCCTCCTCCACCATAAGTGTTTTCCTCCTCCACCATAAGTGTTTCCCTCCACCATAAATGTTCCCCTCCCCCACGATAAATGTTCCCCTCCCCCATGATAAATGTTCCCCTCCCCACCATTAGTGTTTGCATCCCTCATACCACTGTTCCCTTCCTCCACCATGGTGCTCTCTTACACCATCACGTCCTGTAATGTAGATGGTCAGTCCCAGTTGTTGGATAAGAGTCAACTGTTCCAGCAGGAGTTTGGAATTACTGTTTTGGGGCTTCACGGGTGTTTAATTTTATTCAGTAAAATCATTAGTCAAATTTACATTGATTCAAAATGTGTATTGTGTATAGATAATGCTTGTGTACAGTTCATCATGTTTACAAACAATACAGTGACCCCTCCGTTAACGAACTCAATCCGTTCCAGAAGGTCGTTCGTTAACCGAAACCATTGTTTCAATGGGTTTTTGGGTAATTGGTTCCAGCTCACCGAAAATTTCCTAAATTCAACAAAAATAGTAGAAAAGTTCACTTACTTTGAGGTGTGTATTATACTACAAGCGCGGTGGATTTGAATATTATGTAGCGTAATATGAATTAAAACGGGTTTTTAGGAATGACAATGAGCTGCGCAGTACAGTATGTAGAAGGCTCCTGGATGATGATGATGATGATGATGATGATGATGATGATGATGATGGGATTTAGAATGGGGGTGGAGGAGAAGGAAGAAGAGAAGGCATTGGGGTGGAAGAGAAGTCACCCCATGGCGCCATTTCACCCATAAAATTTTAGCTCTCTTGGTGTAATTCAAGATTATTTTCTTTAAATCAACACTGCACTGCATTATATATTGTCAATATGTAAAATATATTTCAAAATGACCAATAATTTGCTTGGAAACACAGAGAAAAAGTGTTTGGTTGAAGAGAGTCTCAAGCAAGATGTTACCTCCAGTGAAAACAGAGAGAGACTAACTCCAGTTTGCTGTGTTAAGAGGCTGGATGCCGCGAATTAAACTAGTCACTTTACCTTCAATTATGTTCAATAATTGTTAAAATGACTAAAAGATTGAATATTAAACTTTTAAAGTTATTGAATAGTATAAACTTCTTGATATTTACTAAAATAGTAAGGAATTTAAGCCCTAGAACCGATTAATGTATTGGCGGACTGATACTAAAGCTGGTTGCCCGGTCAGTGCAAGCGAAAACATGTTGAGGTCGGTTCGTAAGAACTTCGTAAACCGAATTGAAGATCCTTATGGAAGGCAGTTCGTTAATCGAAATTACGTTAACCGAGGTGTTCGTTAAACGAGGGGTCACTGTACAGGTACTGTACACAGTACAGTACAGTATATGGTACTTACACAATACAGGTGCCTTATACAAAATGAGTACCTACAGTACTGCACCTAGACAGTTTGGATATTGAACGAATGGTAAACTGTAGCAAGTATACCTTCGTAGTCTATATGCATGCCAATCCAGTTGTAAAGCCATATGACACCACCCACACACCCCCAACACCACCCACACACCCCCAACACCACCCACACATCCTCAACACCACCCACACACCCCCAACACCACCCACACATCCTCAACACCACCCACACACCCTCAACACCACCCACACACCTTTCTTCAAAATTTGAAAGCTGTGGCTAGCCACCCGGTTTGAAATATAGTACAGGTACTGTATTACTGTAGGTATCATAATTTTTCATTTACAAATAAGAAGGGTATGCTTTGCGAATACCTAATAGGGGTGTTAAAATATTAATTGCAGATAAATGGGGTTGTGAATAGCGAAGTATTCCTGTACCTATACACTATTTTATTATTCTTCATTTCCAGCCAAGTGGTATGCAAGCAGATCGAAGATTGTAGGCAGCCTATTCAGCCAGGTCAGAGAGTCGCTGCTTTCTGCAAGGGTGATGACAACTTCTACAGAGCTGAAGTGCTGAAATATTTTGCTAGGTACAATATATGTGATTTTTTTTTATTAACATTAAAAATAAAGTATTGTCTGGTACAAGGTGATTTAACAGCACTGACTTACAAAGAAAGGCAATGTAACATAATCATAAAGATTTTCAATGAAAGGGATACATTCCTAAAAAAAAAAACTTATAAGATACTGAAATTTCATAAATCAGGAAGGCTTTTCCAATTAATTTTTAGGGGAAAATTTGTGGTGCATTCTGGGCTGTTTTCCCAACCCTTTTCCTAATCTGAAAACACTTGAATACCACCTTTTTCCAGCTTAGTTTTAAATGGGATATCCAGGATCATTCCTTCATTTTAGTAAGATCGAATTCATACAAAAGATATTTTATGGAAACACAGTTGAACTTTTATTAATTTTTTTTTTATTTCATTTAAGGGAGAATGACGTGAAGGTGTGTTATATAGACTCTGGGGGCATTGGTATGGTGAGCATAGAAAATCTTCATCCTCTACCAACTCATATTGCTGAATTATCTGATATGACAGTTTGCTGCACCATAAAACAGGTGATAATTCTCATTGGTATCTTAGATCATTATATTCTGCTATTGGCTTATCACCAAATAACAAATTATCTTTTGAGATAAATTAGTTTCTTGCTTTTTGTGTTCATAACTGTACAGTCTACTAAAGTTTTCATTAGTAGACATTCATTTTCAGTCAGTTTCTTGTACTTAGTGCTTGTGACTGCACAGAATACTTCAAGTTATCATTGAACTCCCTAATTTTATGAAATCCCACTTGTAGCTGCTTTCGGAAAAGAAGGAAATGTGGAATGCATGCCTGTTGGCATTGCGAAGTTGAATATGGAGCAACTTAATTCCTTTTTACAGTAGTGTTTAAAATTAGGCTTTTTCTGCTTAAAACGATTCTCAAAAATTTCTGCAGAAACTGCATTTGTTCATATATACTGTACAGTATATATATTTTATTTTTTATTTATTTTTATTTATTTATTTATTTTTTTTTTTTTTAAATATAATATTGAACACAGTTTTCCAAATTTACAATATGCGTGTTTGTACAGTATATTGTTAGTTGATAGATTTCATCTTTGATATCTTGAAGTATTGACTCAAACCCCTTTATTGAAACTTACTGTTAACTGATTCTTTTTACGAGTTCAGTTACATGAAAGAGTCATTCTACCAAAAACTTTTTATGTGATAGATTGAAGGTAGTATTTTTATTTATTTTTTTTTCTTACACAGGTACAGTATCCTGTTTAAAGTTAATGCAAAACAATGTGAGGTGAAAAGTATTAATACTGTATTCTTCTTCTTTTATGTATTCTCTGCAGATTGATGATGAATTTGTATCAACACACCAAAGTGGTTCACAACCTGACTCGTGTGAAAAACTCAAGTATTATCACTTGGAGCCGAATATGCCTGTTAAAGCAATTTTGAAAAGGGTAAAAAGAAAAATTTATAATTTATTTTAATAGCAAACTATTTTATCCAAAAGTTCACACATTTTAAACATTTTATACTAATTTGTTCTTTTGTATAATGTTTGTAGTAATAGTAATTTAGTCAGTCTTTCAGTCAAAATTTAATTAAGTATAAAACGTAGCAGTAACTTTTTTCTCACATAAAACCGATAAATACGAGTTGTAGGATTATTCACCCCTTGGGTATGAGGGTTTTATACTGAATAAAATCACCTGGTGTTACCTAAATAAAATAATAAATGTGGGGTCACATAGTGAAGGGATTAAGGCCCATTTCATGTAATTTCATTCCTCCAGTTGGTGTCAGCATGTTAAAGTTCTCTATAACAAGGAGATGGTGAGAATTAAGTGCCATTCTTGTCTATTAAGGCTCTTAAATTTCTTTGGTTTAATAAACTGTAATTCAGGAATCTATAAATACACCCAGCAATTAGGAAGTCTGCACCCTCACCTGGCTGGCTCTCAATGCCCTGTCTAGTACTGTATAAATAGCCACACCCTTCTTCATTGATTTGTTATTATTTTCTAGTTTGAAAATGAAAAATAAAAAATTAACACTAATTTTCCTTTGGTGTATGACCTATGAGACACCCTGAGCATCTGGCATATTCCTTTTTATATCTTCATGTGATATTTTGTATAGGAACATTAATTGTATTTTCTTTTACAGAGTGAACATTACTCAGATGTTAAGTGGTCGGCTGAAGACTATATAAAATTTCCAAGGTGCGTATGCAGGTTTTTTCTCTTATCTTTGTAAATTATCCAGTCTAAGGGATTGGGAATGATAACAGTAAAGGCTCTCACCCTTCTGCCTTTTTGGGGGAACCTACCATACCAAATGTCTCCTTTCAAAGAATCTGGTTTGGTTGAACAGTTTATCTGATTTTAAAATTAATATTATATTTAGATATCCAGTCACCTGTCCAATACATTGCACACTTCACCATTCAAATTGAAAGGTACAGTACTTTGTTAAAGGAATTTTGCAAGAAAGAACATCAATCCTCCTGAATCACAAGTTACTGTACTAAGGGTCTGTAACAATCATCTCATTTTAGATAAGGTCACTTGTTTATGGGTGGGCTGCAGCTATAGGTACACAAATGGGTTAATGATAAAAGTTATGATGAGGATAAACAACTAAAAAAAATCTTTAGTTTTTAAGTACATTGGTAAGGGAATAGCATTGTTAATGGAATTTTAGGTTAAACCATTACTTAACCTAACCCTATTCAAGTATTAATCATTTATTTTCAGGATAGAAACAAAACATAATTAGGGTTAGCTTAAGGAAGCGTAGGTTAAGGCATGTTACTTAATTTAGCCTAGTGGCCACCCAAACTAGAGGTAGCCAAAGGTCTACCGCTCTTTGTGAAGAAGTATTTCCTTATATTCCTCCTGCATGATAACTAGGCAAGCTTGGAGTCCCCTTGTGTTGGTGGTGTGGGACATCACATAAAAAAGGTGGCCTTTGTTTATGTTTTTGGTCCCTTTCAAGATTTTTAATGTTTCTGTGAGATCTGCCCTACTGTGTCTTGTCTGAAGAGTTGTTAGCCCTGTGGTCCTCAGTTTACTTGGATACTTAAGAGGATATAATTCAGGAATCATCTTAGTCACTCTGTGTTGCACCTTTTCTTGGGATGTTAAGTCTTTGTGGGGGTAAGGTTTCCAAACAGTAACCTAGATTGAGATGTATCAGAGACTTATAATGTTGAAGGAGCATATTTTTCTCTGTATTTGAAGGTATGATTTAAAATTCCCAAATATCTCTCTTCTTTTATTCCATTGCTGCTCCCACTTGTTGCGCTGCCTTCAGTGGATGATCTATCACAACGCCTAGATTTTTCCCCTGAATAACAGTATCCAGGAATGTATTGATAACAGATTAGTTATGATTTTGGTTGTTTTATCCTACAATAAGTCTTGCATTTTGTAGTGTTAAAAAGGGTTTGCCAATCTTGCAACATTTCAACAACTTGTGCAGATCTTTTTGCTTGGTTGTATTATCATCTCGACTTGCTACCTTTCCAAATATCTTCATGTCATCTGCAAACTTGACAATGTGACTCGGTATATTTTTTTATTGGTATCTTTAATGTAGATTACAAAAAGGGTGTGCCCAAGGATAGATCCTTGTGGTACTCCACTGAGAACTCTTTCTATTCTTAATGCACTGTATACATTGTTTACGGCCACTGTATGTTGCTTGTCTTTGAGCCACTTCAGTATTTTGCCCTTGTTGCCCTGTGTCTGGATCTTGAAGGCTAACCGTGCATGTGGGACTTTGCCAAACGCCTTAGAAAAATACATGTACAACACATCTACCTGTATATTCATAAAAAGACTTGGTGGGGGTCTTTTTAATTTCATCTTGAAGTTCTATTTGGTTGATTGGTTGATTTAATTTCCTGATTGGCCACATTTAGGACTCTTTTTGCATACAGTACTAAATAATTTTTATTTATTATTATTATTATTATTATTATTATATTTTCTTACCCAGTCCCTGATGTGGGTCATTGACCTGTAGGACGGCCCTGGTGGGCTAATCCCGTATAAAAAAAAAAAAAAACCATGATGTTTTGTGCTCTGGCAATTCTTCTACAGGAGGTAGTTTCTTTTGACTGCATTCCTGAACCTCATGGCTATCAAAGTTTGTATTTCATCTTATTATGTAGGGGTTGTTTGATTTTTCCTGATGTGGACCTTGTCCACCATTGTCTCCTCAGTTGTGAAGAATAAATCCACAAAAATTAGTTTTGAATGAGGTCAAGGAAGTCTTTTTCCTCAGCATGTGTGGTAAGATTCACCCAGTGTATTGTCTCTTGATTAAACTTTCCCACAATGAGAGCTTGTGCTCTGGATGACTCGTATTAAGATCGCCGCTTCACCCTCCAGTGCAGAGAGTCAACCCTATAGCACACATACTGCTAGCTTGCTTTTATTTTGTGTTATCAAATCACATCAAATAGATTTGGATGCTCTCATTTCATATAACTTTTCATTTCTGGTTACTGTTAAGTGTTCCTTGAAATACAGTAATACACCCACATCTTGTAGCCATGTCCTTAACGGTGGATTATATGCTGGTGAATAAAATTCATCCTGTGACACATCTTCTTGACCCCATTACTTACTGATCCCAATGATGTCTTGTTCTGTGTCCACATATGCACTCAATACATCACTCTTTATTAACTAGACTTCTGGCATGTGTGTACCAACATTTGATCAGCCTGGATTCTAATAGTGTCCTATTTGGTGGCTGTCAGGCTTGAGGGTTAGTAAAATCTCTCTCCTGTTTCTCTTGGAGTTTTGTTCTCTGTGGGTTAGTAAAAGACAAACACTACACTAGATATATATTGGACCTCTTGAGTTCTTAATCTCTGCTTCATGTCATTTGAGGGCTTTTTATGTTGATCAATTAGAATCTTTTATACTAACTATGGAGCTGGGAAGGACATTAGAGATCTTACTGGGGAGTAAATGTAAGAAGAATGACAAATTGGAGCATTTGAGTGAGGTGAATGAGATTAGGCTTAAGAGTAGACAGAGATACTTAGTGGAAGGACTTTGTGAATAGTTTATGTACAATACCAGTAAGTAGGAAGAAGATACACATAATTTTATATTGTGGAGAAATTTTGGTGGTTTACTTAACTTAAAATAATTGAACCATTTTATAAATTATACATTAGTTTGATTTTTTATCGTCAATAAAGCCCTTAACTATTCTTATGACAAAATTTTCATTTGCAGGTATGATATTTGCATATGCAGTAAATTTTATGACAATGCAGATGACACATTGGATGTTCAACACACCGTCAAGAACAGTAAAGATACTGACCATATCCAATTGAATAACCTTCCAGAAATTAACATGGTTGATAACAAGCCAACAAATAATCATAAAACACCTGTTAATTCTGTTATATATGAGAGTGATACAGGGTTAGAAGATGCTTTTACTCGCATTAATGGTCAGCCAGGTGGAGGTCAAACTAAGGCAGAACAAGATACACAAGAACAAGAATCAAACATTACGGGAGCTGCCTCTTTAACTTTGCAAGAACATTCAACATATGATGTAGACACTTATGGCTCACTGACTGAGATGCCAGTGACCCAGGAAAATCTGAACAGTCAAGTTTTAACAGTTAAATCTGAAAGTGGAAGTGAAACAGGTACGTAATCTTTTGTAATTTTGACCATTTTTACATATAGTAAATGTTGGTACACAAATGGTAGATATGAATGGGTATAATTTGATTGATGTTTATTTATTTTCTGCTTCTTGTACTACTATTCTCTTTGTGCATCATAACCTTTCTGTAAACTTTGACTAGCTCCTTCTAAAATAAACTAGATAGAAGGCTCTTCCATGGATCCTCACCTCAATGTCTGAAGAACTTTATGGTTGAATGTAACTGAAGTCACGGTTTACAAAGGCTCCCATTATCTCCATTATCTGTGCTTCTTTTGGTGTGGAAAACATCTGGCTGCTTGTCTTCTTGTTTGTTAAAATCATAAACAAACTGAAAAGTAAAGTTAGATGTAGCTTGCATAAGATGTGTTGTTGTATGACATTTAAAAATTGGCAATTAAAGAGGATAATATACTTAGGCTTGAGCGTGCTGAAATGAGAATGGTGAGATAGATGTGTATTGTGGTGTTGAGAGATAGGAAGCTCTATTCAAAGCTAAGGGGGCAGCTGGATATTGAAAGTACTGTATAACTAACTTTGTGGTTCTTGTTACACTTAAGCTCATCATCTACTGCTGAAAAGTTTTGAACATAACCTTGTGGGGTTACCTCAAGGACAAGCTAGCACTTAAATATATGACTGGCCAATGGTATTTTTACTGTTAGATGGAGGTTTTAAAGTGTTTGTAACTAAGAGGTTTTCTGTTAAATAATTTTCAGGTCTTGTGTTAATGTCCAAATTTAAAAAAAATCTTTTAATCTTACAGAAAATCAAAGTTATGATGATGATGATGATGATGATGTGATCCCAGCAGCTGCACTTCCATATGTGAAACTTCCGCTGCCTCAGCTGCCATTGAATGGCCCAACTGAAGCAGTTGTGATTGCTTGTGTTATCTCTCCTACACACTTCTATGTACATATCATCAACAGTGAAACCTCAACTTTAGACAGGTAGTTTAGGTTTTACTTAAACCATAGAAAACACAGTTTGTATAGGCATATAGGGCAACTCTTTCTCCATTTCTCTACAAAAGGTTATTTCAGTTCAGCAACTTCAGAGGGACTTCATGGATTAAACTGAAATATGATGTGCAGCATAGTATCATGAATATCTGGGCAGAACTTCAAAATCAACATTTATCACCTCATGAGAATTTGGATTAACTCATGTATCAAGGCTGGTCAAAAGGGGGAGGCTTTATTCTGCCTTGATGTGAAGGAGAAATGTGGACTGACCCTTGGCGAGTGTCATAATTTTCATTTTGATAATTTAAATGAATATGATGTGATAAAATTTCTTGGTATTGTATAATTTTTATTGTTTTTGTTGAGTACCCCAAATAATTGTTATTGTAGACATTTTTTTTGTAAGATGTTGAAGATTGAACTGACCCCACCTAAGATGGCATTGTTTTATCCAGCTTTTGTGAAACAATGTTGGAGACATATAAGGATGAAAAGGAACCGTTAAATGTGACTGAATTGCCAAAAGGGTCCTACTGGGCTGCTCGGTGCACAGATGGTTTGTGGTGTAGGGTCCAGATTGTTGCCAACATTTTCACATCACCTGATGAGGTAAGAAAATGCATGTAATTTGGTCTTTTGTTGGTGTTCACAGTTAATTAGAAATACATTAGCTTTTATGGAAATGCACCTTAACTCATATTCTGTTGAAGCTTTGAGATTCTTTAGTGTTAGGGGAATTTAGGCAGTAATGATCCTAAGGACATGCTTAAACAAAGGGTATGGCAAATGAAAGAAAAGATATGTATGAGAGGGATAATTGTTTGTTTAAGGGGTCCATCTGACCACATAAGTGAGAACATTTGGAAAATATCAAAAGTCTGGAAAAATTCGTGTTGTGTTCGCCTTGGGCTGTCAAAGACTAAATTCTATTCCGATATTCCTTATATAATTATTTTTATGAGCAACTGTTCCCATGACAACTCGTCCCCAAGCATAAACAATCAGTCGAGTGATACAACAAAAGACCTTCAATTGTCCCACAATTCCCAAAAGCTCCAATATTATTTGAATTTTAGAAACACAATGGCACCATTTTGCTCTCGTTTGGTGTGTGGTGAGACTGTTACGCAATGACGACTCAGTGCTCCCCAGACTGTCAGAGAGAGAACGAAAGGTTGCCACCAGACGTGACTGCTATTTCCTGCTTATCCTATTATCAGATTCAACTATTTCTTGGAATATGTGTCCAGTTTCTTCTTTTTCTCATGTAGTTTGTTGCAAATCAAATAAAATAAAATTATTTTTTATTCCTAAATTTCATATGCTAATTTTGTTCGATAAAGGTGTAAAGATGTAAGAGAAAATGGAAGGGAACAAATGTTTGAAAGTGTGGATATTGTCGGCAATGCACGGGAGAGCATGGGTGTAGTGTGAGTTGACTGGTGGCAGCGTTTACACCCTATATACAAAAGAGCTGGGTTTTTTTTTATTTACCATCTCCATTTATAGAATGGGAATCAATGTATTACTATAGAAATATATTTATTAAAGATGTTGGCATTGCATTTCATACTGAGGCTCAGCTTTTACAGTATAATACTGTATGGGAGTCTGTGGGAAAATGTGCTCCAACTAATCAAAGGTATTTGAAGAAAGGAACCCTTTTCTAAACCAGGAAATGCTAGCTTTGAGGAAGATTATAGGTGTTTATTGTAAGGCATTTTAAGATACACGGAATAGCTAATGCGTTAGCTTTCCCGGACTGTCATTAAGAAATACAACATTGTACCGCGTCTTGGGAATAACTGTTGTACAACACAGTCTTCAGAAAACAATAAAATAAGGAGAACTATTATTTGGACACAATACAGAAAGAAATAGTGAAGAAAATATATAGAAGATTATGGAAAGAAAGACAAAAAAGGAAAAAAAGTCAATCGGTCAATGATAAATAAGATTAACACAAAATATCGGGACCGTTGTTAAAGAAATTTCTCCCGGACTTCATTTTCTCTCGTGGCTAGGTGCTTGCATATTTGTGCAAGAAATACGACGAATTTCAGGTTCGTTTAAGTCTTAATTTTTGCACCTACAGAGCTGTAATCAACTTGTTCACCCATATTTAAAGTATCTAATGAGTAATGATATTAAGGTTTCAATCATAGTTGAGTAATTATCAATATACCCTGTATTGTTACACCAAAGTCACCAACAGCTATTGAAATCAGACAATGCCCACTTAAAAAGGGCTTTTTAATTCTTTCACGCCATACGCTTGATTTTAGGTCCTATCCAATATACTACTAATGTATATGTAGAATTATTTTTATTATTATACAGTGATCCCTCGGTTAACAAGCGCCTCGGTTAACGAGTTACCTTCCATAAGATTCTTAACTTCGGTTAACGAGCAATCCCTCGATTAACGAGTTTTTTACAAGCTGACCTCAACATGTTTTCGCTTGCATTTGGCGGTCCACCAGCTGTAGTATTAGTCCGCCAATACAGTAATCGGTTTTAGGGCTTAAATTCCTTACTATTTTAGTAAATATCAAGAAGTGTATACTATTCAATAATTTTAAAAGTTTAATATTTATATTTTTTTGTCATTTTAACAATTATTGAACATAATTGAAGGTAAAGAAACTAGTTTCTGGCACGCCATCCAGCCTGTTAACACACAAACAGGCGTTAGTCTCTCTCTCTTTTCAGTGGAGGTAACATATTGCTTGAGACTCTCTTCAACTAAATGCTTTTTTCTGTGTTTCCAAGCAAATTATTGGTCATTTTGAAATTTATTTTACATATTGACAATATATAATGCAGTGCAGTGTTGATTTAAAGAAAATCATCTTGAATTACACCAAGAGTACTAAAATTTTATGGGTGAAATGGTGCCATGGGGTGACTTCTCTTCCACCCCAATGCCTTCTCTTCTCCCTTCTCCTCCATCCCCATTCTAATTCCCATCATCATCATCATCATTCAGGAGCCTTCTACATACACACCTCAAAGTAAGTGTACTTTTCTACATTTTTTGTTGAATTTAGGCAATTTTCTGTGAGCTGGAACCAATTACCCAAAAACCCATTGAAACAATGGTTTCGGTTAATGAGTTTTTCGGTTAACGAGCAACATGCTGGAACGGATTGTGCTCGTTAACCGAGGGACCATTGTATCACAGTTTTATACTGTATTGCCTTTACATGCCTCCAGCTGTTCAATATTAATCAAAATATCTTCCATAAGCGGCCATGATCCGCGTATTTTCAGTGGGAGAAATCGCTGATTGGTTGTTAACTATTTGGGCCTCTTGGGTGCTGCACACTTTTTTTTACTTTATCCTCTTTGCCACTGATCGGCTTGTTAGCCGCTTGGGTGATCGGTCACGTCTCTGATTACTTTTCCTTTTCATTTATCTTCTTCACCAAAGATCAGCTCGCTAACCGCCTGGGCGATCGGTCACGTCTCTGTCACGCACTGTTGGCAAATACTGGGCATGCACCGGCTCCTGAATGTACCTGAACCCGCTCCAGTGTTGGCAAGTCTTGTCTTGAAAGAGCTCACACTCGGTGCCGTCACAACACTCGGGTAGATTGTTCCAAGAGTTTACAACCCTCACTCCGAAAAAGTTTGCCCTCACGGTTTTCTGGACTTGCGGCTTCTTCAATCTTGAGCTGTGACCCCTTGTGGGGCGAGCGTCCGCCAGCTCCAAGTAAGGACACTCAACTGAGTAGTGCCCCCTGAGATGCTTATACACCTCAACTAGGTCCCCCCTTGCCCTTCTGTAGTATAAGCTAGGCAAGTTCAGGCGCTCCAATCTCTCAGGGTAGCTGAGGTGCTGAAGTGCAGGCACCAGGCTGGTGGCCCTCCTTTGAACATTTTCAACCAACTGACAGTCCCTAGCATATCTCGGGGACCAGATGGGGTGACAGTACTCCAGATGGGGAAGCACTTCACTCCTGAAGATCGTTACGAGGGACGGACCGTCTAGATATCTGAACGACCTTTTTATAAGACCCAATAATTTATTTGCCTGATTTACCTTCTTCTGGCAATGGCTCGAGAACTTCAGCTCATTGTCAACATACACACCTAGGTCCTTCTCACACACAGTCTCAACTAGTGCAGTTTCTTCAACCCGTTGGGACATATGATATGCCTCCTTACCGTTGATACGCCCCAGGTGCATCCTCTTACACTTCGTGACATTGAATCTCACCTGATCGAGGCATTAGCTTTTCCCTCTGAACGTTCGTGTGCACAACTCAAAAGCAGTTTCTGTGCATACAGAATAGCTAATGCATCAGCTATTCCGTGCATTGAAAACACTTTGCATTAAACACCTAATTTGTAAAGAGAACAAGTGTGGAGAATATGAGGGATATTATGGTTTTATAGTTCTTAGAGACTTCACACTGCTTTAGTATGTACTGTATTGGTTAGTTGACTGACTGATGAGCACATGTACTCTACTGCTCACCATTCATCACTCCTGTTCATTTATTTTATACATTAAAACATTTGAATCTTATATTGCTTGGTTTATGATTGAGTACATCTCTTGAATATGTAAAACTGTATATTTAATTGTGACTAGAAGAAAGATGATTTATCCTGATTTATAATACATTATATTAAATAATTCTCTTTCTTCAGCAGAGTTCACACAAGAAGTGTTCAAGAGTAAGTGCTCGCCTCATTGACTATGGGGATGAAAGAGTCTTTAACATCAAAGACATTCGAATCCTGCATGAAAATCTTACTCTGCTGCCCACTTTGGCTATACCATGCCGCCTTGCACAGGTATCATATTTTTTATGATCTATTAATATGGCTAGAAATTTATATTACTTAAGGATTGGCAAGTTTAGAAGTTTCAGTAAGTAATAATTTAGCTTTTCATTGTAAAAAAATTTGAAATAAGTCTCACTGGTCGGATGCATCATTAGAACAAATCAATCAATCACTGTAATGTCCTCATATCTGAAGGTTGGTGACCACAGTCCTCCACTCAACACTTTTTCAGGTTGTTTTTACCAATCCTCCAAGATTTTGCAAGGTCTCCAGTGACTGGAAAATGGCTAATGTGAGTCCTACAGTATATTCAAGATGGGCGATTGTCACTCCACGAATAATTATAGTCCAGTGAGCCTGACCAGCATAGTATGTAAAGTACTAGAGAGCATTATAAGAGATGCCATGATGGAACATCTACTATGAAACAACTTTGTAAAGGACTGCCAATATGGTTTTATGCCGAGACACTCCGGCCTAACACAATTACTCAAGGTACTGGTTGTTTGGACTCAAATTCTAGAACAGGGTGGTAATATCGACAATATATACTGTACATAGATTTTGTCAAGGCTTTCGACAGCGTACCCAATGAAAGGCTGAGAATTAAACTGGAAGGGTAGGGGATTCGGAGAAGTGTCCTAGCGTGGATCAGAGACTATCTTCATGACCACAAGCAGTGTGGTGATTAATGGCACAAAATCGTCATGTGTACCCATGACAAACGGGTAGCACAGGGCAGTGTGCTGGGCCCATTTTTGTTTGTTCGTTTGTTTCATAAATGGCATGCCAGAAGCTATACACTTCCATACAAATGTTTGCAGACATTGCCAAGTTATTCAGGGAAATTAAGAACCAAACAGACTGTGAAGAGCTACAGAAGGATTGCCATCAGGTTCAAGAGTGACCAAAGAAATGGCTGCTAAGATTCAATGTCACAAAGTGTAAGAGGATTCACCTAGGTTGTACCAACAGTAAGGAGGCATATCACTTGTCCCAACAGGATGAAGAAACTGCATTAATTGAGACCAAATGTAAAATGGACCTGGGTGTGTTTGTTGACAACGAACTGAAGTTTTCAGGCCATTGTGAGAAAAAGTTGAATTAATCAACTAGTACTGGCACCCTGTCTGGTACCTAAGATATGCTAGAGACTGTCAGTTGGTTGAAAATGTCCAAAGTAGGGCCATCGGACTGGTGCCTGCACTACGACACCTCAGTTACCCAGAGAGATTAGAAAGCCTTCAACTGCCTAGCTTAATTGTGGTTTATAAGCATCTCAGAGGGTACTACTCGGTCAACCGTCCATACCTGGAGCTGGCAGGTGCTTGCCTCACAAGGGGTCACAGCTCAAGATTGAAGAAGCTGCAAGTCTAGAAAACTTTGAGGACAAATATTTTCTGAGTGAGAATTGTGAACTCTTGGAACTATCTACCTGAGAGTGTTGTTACAGCACTGAGTGTGAGCTCATTCAAGGCCAGAATTGATCAACACTGACACAGGTACAGATACATTCATGAACTAGTGCATGCCCATTACTTGCCAACAGTGCGTAACATAGACTTGACTGACTGCCCAAGCAGCTTACAAGCTGATCAATGGCAAAGAGGATAAAAAACTTTGAGAACCCAGTTTCTAATTTCATTCATCCATTCCAGTCTCTGCTTTCCCTGGACCTCCTACCCTCAACTTTGCCCATTAGTATTCCTGCTATCCTTTCAGCCTTAATTATATGACCAAATTATCTAATTTTCCATTTTTTGTAAATTTCCAGTACAATATTTCTCTTGAATGCCATTCTTTGTACAGAACTTCATTTGTTTTCCTGTCAATGTAATATTTTTTAACTATCGTATAACACCACATTTCAAAGCCCTCTAACCTGATTAAGAGGCATCTTCCTCTGGAGGAGAACTGGCTCCAAAAATGCAGGAAACCACCAGAATTCTGGCGAGACAAAAACAGGAGTATAAAGTGTGTGTCAGTTTCCTATTTTTATTGAAATTTAAATCAAAGTCCCACTGGGGAACAGTACTAGGTTTTTCAGCATTAGGACCTTTTTCTGTCTTTTATTTTGATAGCTGGCTTTTGCAATACAGGAAGTTTTAAATGTCAATTTGATCCTGAAAAACTATTTGATAACAGCCAATTATGAGGGACCAAGATCTCAACTACCTCCGGATGTCTTTGGAGGTTGGCTGGATAATGCAAACATGGTTTTTGTCTTTCAGATAAGGTACATTTTGCACACTGGAAAGAATAAGCTTTTTAGCATTATGACTTGTCTTACTCATGGGGGAGTGAGTGATAATTTGACTAACACTAGTCATATATTGCATATGGTTTTACTGGGAAAACCCTGAGTTTTGGGTATATGTATTTATGGGTCGTTCCTTGCTGTTTTGGTTATAAAATTGGCTTTTGGGATCAAATTTGTCTTCTAAACCTTCTAAACATTTACAAGCTTAGTAATTAAGTATTTCACTCTCTTGCTAATTTATTAAATTTTTAAACCTTTTTCCAGCTGATGATACTATTTGCGTCACTTCACGGACTGTTAGAAGTGAGATGTCTCCCATGACCCTGAGTGCTCACACTGGCACATAAGATATTTTCTTTCCACATTGATTTTCAGCGATCCCATATCATTTATACAACTATTTTGTTCTTTTATCACTTAGTCAGATAGTTTATGTTTATAACTCGATTAAAAAAATGGTAAAGGAAATATTAAATTCATAGAAAAATCTGTACATTTTAAACTGCATCATGGGCCGGTCTACGGGTGAGATTTGGACCGGGCAGATAGACAGTGAAAAGGTTAATGATAAAATTAAATACTTGGGAATTTTCCCATCAGGTATGTCCTCCAGATGGGTGGCAAGATAACCCGTGGCCCAGAAGTAGCATTGAAGCCTTCATAGAATTGTGTGGAGACATTGGATCTGTCCTGTTTGCAGACTTCCAACAACACAGTCCGTAAGTTTATATATTAATTCCTTCATTTATTTGTAATATGCTTCTGAGATACAGTTGTGATTGACAAAGACTGCCACCTCTGTAAGCTTTTTTCTCCATGTTGCAGGGTCACTAGAATGAAGTGCAGTGCACAGTCCGTAATTTGTTTTTATTTGGTGTCTAGTTTTGTAACCACATAACTTCTGCTTTAATATTTCCCTTCCACAATGAGGCCCTAAGATAAGATATCCATCTGTTTCATCCTTGTTACTTTAAACCTCATTCCAGCATTGCATACAAGATGCACATAAATCACCAAATACCTGAGACCAAATAAACTACAGTAATAGTACAGTACATTACTTAAATGATGATCGTTCATACACCTAAATGGTCTATTACTCATAACGATCTTCAAAAGTGAAGTGCTCTCTATTTGGAGTACCTGGTACTATCATTCTGTCTTGTCCCCAAGATATGCAAGAGACTACCAGTTGATTAAGAACACTCGAAAGAGGGCCACCGAACTGGCGCCTGCACTTCAGGTATCAAAAGAGATTACAATGTCTTCAGTTGCTTAGCTTGTACTGTAGACAGGCAAGGGGTGATTTAATAGAAGCCTAACCTCTCCCGCTCCCCTCTGCCACTCCCACACTTACTCCCGCAGACATAAAAAAATTTATTCTCTGTTTTTGACCTTATGACAATCTTTTTTTTTTTCACATTCTGAATGAACAATTGTGTGTGGATGTAACAGTAAAAGAAAAAGAACAAATATATATATATATATATATATATATATATATATATATATATATATATATATATATATATATATATATATATATATATATATATATATATATATATATATATATATATATATATATACTATATATATATATATATATATATATATATATATATATATATATATATATATATATATATATATATATATATATATATGTATATATATATATATATATATATATATATATATATATATATATATATATATATATATATATATACACACACATACACAGTAGTACCCGATTTCTGCGTCAATTGAACCCACAGGGTACCAGCGGAAAGTGAAAACATACGTAAATGGAACAACAGAACATATGGGATTAATTCCAATAGAGACTGGCCCGACCCCCAAACTCCACTTTTCGACACAATACCTATGTTGTAGTAAAAATAACATCTAAATTTTATGATGGTATGCTCACACAATTAATATTTAAAAATACAGTGTGGTTAATGTCCATTCAAATAATAAACTCAAATCCACCCCCTCTTCCCAGCTCATTGGGCCCTACCTCTCTGAGAAATGATTGGGTGAAACACTAGATTTTAACGCTTAGTAATAAATAATACCTCAGACTAAAGTTAGCATAATATAATTGACATCTCTGGATTCCTTGCTGGTCAGGGAATATTTTGAATGTAAATTTCATATATTTTGCACAAAAGATAAACTACTTGCTTTGTGTAAACCAAATTATTACATTACATCTAAAATTTGTATGTCTAATGCAAAATCCATGATGTTTATATTCAAAATGATCATCATATTGTAAGAATTCCAGCAATGTAAATTATATTCTGGTCCATAATTTGTATGAATTTTATGAGCTAAAACAAATATCTTCAGTTAAAAAAATTCTTCATGACACTATCTGTCAATCAGTACCCCAATCCTGCCTCTTCCAACTGGCCAGATGGTCGGTCGGTCCCAACCTCCCCCACCCCTCCCTACCAGAGAGAAATGTTGGGTGAAAACTAATTTTAACTTTTAGTAACAAATAATACCTCAGACTAAAGTTAGGATAATATAATTGACATTGCTGGATTCCTTGTAAGACCAGGAACATTTTGAATATAAATTATATTTTGCACAAAAGATAACATATTTACTCAGAGCAAACATTAGATCTAAAATTTGTATGTCTAATGCAAAATCTATGATGTTTATATTCAAAATGATCATCAAATTGTAAGAATTCCAGCAATGTAAATTATATTCTGGCTGGGTAATTTGTATGAATTTTATGAGCTAAAACATATATCTTCAGTTAATAAAAAAAAAAATTCTTCACAACTGCCGGATGGTCGGTCAGTCCCTCCCTACCAGATAAAATGTGGGAAAACCAGAACATTTACCTTTTTAGTAATAAATAATACCTCAGACTAAAGTTAGGATAATATAATTGACATTGCTGGATTCCCTTTTAAGACCAGGAATATTTTTAATATAAATGTAATATTTTTTATTAAAATATATATATATATATATATATATATATATATATATATATATACACAACACTTTTCATACTATCTTCCTCATACAGTACAGTGTCTTGAAGCTTCTAAGATGGCCATAATAACCTGACACCCAATAGTACCCATCCTAACAACTTGTCATCATGAGGGCTGCTGACAATTGGAATTCATGGATTATAAACATAAATACAATAAGTAATAACGGCATTCATATAGCCAAAAGACAGTAAAATTGGAGGTCAAGAGAAATAGGTTTAGAATTCCTTGTTAGAACTTTTATTTATTTGTTTTAATTTCAGAGAATTAAAAGTTTTCAATACAGGGTATTAGTTTTAACTAATACCTCCAGTTATGTAGTGTACGTTGTCAGTATAACCATTATCTAAGCTTTTTTTCTCTTTCTCTCCAAGAAGTGGCATGTACAACATCATGTTGAAGACAGTAGAAGGTTTATTTGTGAATAAGGAGTTTGTGTCTCGAGGCTTTGCTACATCACGTTACTTCTCTCAAGTATGTAAACATAGTGAAGATCAACAAAATTGGTGAATAACAGTCATTTCTTAGTTACAGGATGTGTGTTAGATGCCATGCGCCTTGTATACAAAGGAGAATTAATAATAAAAAAAAAAAAAGGTTATTTTACCAGCAATCTTACAATTATAAAGAGTTAGGCAAGATGAACTCTTCAAATAATGAAAGTGACTAGTGACTTTTATTTTATTTTTTCACCACTTATCAGTTGACTAGTTGTTTGGACGCTCTATCCAATTTTAGTACAGGAGAGAACCCGAGGATCAGGAAACCTGTGATGCTTGGTAGGGTTACACTGGATAACACACCCTTCTCACGCAGGTCTGAGCTGAGGCTCAACCTTGACATGTTCGTGAGAGTCATGTGCAGTTCCGCTGTACCACCAACTCCTCTGTTATAGCTTCTCTTGGTATAATGATTTTCATAATTTATTTTTTACTTTATTTATTTATTTTTTTTTATTTTATTTATTTTTTTTCAAAGTAAAACTAGAGCTCTAAGATGCAAGCAGGAGCACTATAATGAAACGGTACTCTATGGCAGGCATGGGCAACCTTTCCTCGGTCATGGGCCGCAATAATGCATTTTAAGTATTTTTCATGGGCCAACCCACCAAAATTCATATCCTACCTAACCAAAAAGTAATGTTAATATTGTATTAACACGGACAGTGAAGCAGTTCATCCTCATGTCCTCCTTACGATATTTTCAGTTTACATTCACAGTCTTTTTCCTATTTATGAAACAAATCCATCATCAAATTTTTTTAGGTAATATGTTAAAGTTTCTTGCCTTTTAACAGAAGATGAGTGAAACAGTCTGTGTATACCGGTATGTTGATTTTTCCTACATTTACAGCATTTTTCTTACTAATGAGACACCCCCACTAGAATAATGCCAATGTCAATCCTGGAATATGAGGAACTACAATGAACAACCTATAGGCACATCTCTCTTTCTCTCAACCCAAAATTAGGTTTTATTTAAAATCTCAGTATAGGTACTGAGCATGCTGATACTGAATCTATGGTCCACAATTCGATTGCTGGGTAATTAGTGGTCATATTGACACTCAAGATATTAATTACATGATTTCACTGCTAATTACTCCTCGAACCTGGTCAGAACTCACACAAGTTAAAATGTTTATATTGTTGACTATATATACTTATTTCACCGTTACAGTTTTGTAGTTACCCACTCTTAGGTGATGAAAGAGTAACGAATCTTGTGTGCAGTTTATTCTTTAAATAAATGTTGCTTTACTCACCATAAACTGGCTGCATCTACCTGAACGTGGCTACATTAAATAGAATTTCTCAATCACTCCACGGGCCATACAAACACATAGTCAGGGCCGCTGGTTGCCTTTGCCTGCTCTACTGGGTAGTGCTAATCGGGGTCAACAAGTCATCAAATCAGCTGTTCACTTGCAGGTAGTAGGCAGCTACCAAACAGGGAGGTACTACTGCCTGGGAAGATATTGGAAGCATAATGTGTTGTCTAATGGTAGACCCTGCTGCCATATGGCATCACAAAACTTGTGACTAAGTCCCAGGTTGCTCATCTGACTTTCTGCCTCATTTACACACAATTGCAGGGTCTCAACTGTTTCTCTTACTTTCACAACACAACATACATACTGTATATTGTTTATCACTCTTGATCTTTTTTTTTTTTTTTTTGTATTTCTTTATTATTACATATTCGCCCCCCCAGACCCAGATGTGGGTCAGTGATCTGGCCCGGTGGCTAATCCTCCCCCAAAAAAAAAACTAGCAGTGCAGCGGTCATTATTATGCATCATCCCCCCCACCCCCCACCCCCCCACCTCCACCATTAACAGCCAACCAGTACATACGTGTTTGTAATATGTAGAGCAATCTTTATTCTGCTAGCCTGCAGGCTTTTGTGACCCACATGATCACTTTGGACTATGTTGGTAGATAACAGACCGAGTCAGTTATTTTTCCGGATTCGGATATAACGAACTTTTTGGTTTAATGGAACAGCCTTTCCCCCAATTAGTCCATTGTATCAGGGGTTTACTGTACTCCCACATAATGGCCCCAACTCTCTAATTTGATTGATCCCATTACTTTATACCACCCTCACATCACCCATCATTTTATTCAGATGAATTTAATTTAATTTAAATATATTATAAAGGTACTTTGTTTTTACAGACCAGGACAGTAATGATGATACTACTGAAGAAATACCAGTAAGTCACTTTTAGTTACATTGTACGTATTTGAATTCTAAAGTGGTTTGTATGTAGCTCATAGAGAAAGTCTGTAGAGGATTGTTATTGTATTTGATTTGCAGCCTTTTCCACTGTTTTTAGTACGTATTGTAGAGGAACTGGTGTAAAAAAAATGTAAACTGTATACAGGGTATCCATAAAGTCCTGATTTAATTACAAACATATATTATTTGCAAATGTCATACGATATTCAAAATACAGTTTTTTGCATTTGCTTAGGTAAAAAACAAAACTTGAATAGTTGCTCTTTCAAATGCAAAACTGCATTTCAATATTTTATGCCATTTGCACATTATTAATAAATGTTTGAAATCAGAATGGGACTTTATGGATACCCTGTATTATATATTTGATTGCACTTCTCTTTCTTCCTTCAATCACTGCCCCCTCGTTTAATGCAGTGGTTACATTCCCAGAAAATGCTGTGTAGTGCGAATCCATATGAAGCAAAGAAGAAGCCACAAGTTCAGAAGATTGTGAGGGCAAACATTTTTGTAGTGAAAATTTTAAACTCTTCAGACTTGACCAACACTGGCACAGTTATAGATAAATTCTGGATCCAGTACAAGCTAACATTGTATAACAGAGATGTGACCAACCGTCCAAGCAGCTAAAGAGCCGATCAGTGGCGAAGAGCATAAAAGTAATATCATAACGGTAAGGAGGCATATCATATGTCCCAACGGGATGAAGAAACTCCACTATTTGAGACTGAATGTGAAAAGGACCTAGGTGTGTATGTTGACAATGAGCTGAAGTTCTCGCGCCATTGCGAGAAGGAGGTAAATCTTGCAAATAAATTATTGGGTCTTATAAGAAGGTCGTTCAGATATCTAGACGGTCTGTCCCTCGTAACGATCTTCAAGAGTGAAGTGCTTCCCCATCTGGAGTACTGTCACCCCGTCTGGTCCCTGAGATATGCTAGGGACTGTCAGTTGGTTGAAAATGTTCAAAGGAGGGCCACCAGACTGGTGCCTACCCTTTGGCACCTCAGCTACCCTGAGAGATTGGAGCTCCTGAACTTGCCTTGCTTATACTACAGACGGGCAAGGAGTGACCGAATTGAGGTCACAACTCTCACTCCGAAAAAGTTTGCCCTCACAGTTTTCTGGACTTGCGGCTTCTTCAACCTTGAGCTGTGACCCCTTGTGGGGCGAGCTTTAGTTGGGTTAAGTCTTCTATTATTTCTACTTTTATGTCTGGCCCGCACTGTATGCTCAGTGTTCCTTACTGGAAGTGTTTATAATCAAATCATCTTGACAGGATATATTTCTGCTGTTGGTAAGTCTCTGTACTTTACTTATCCTCTCTGCCACTTGTCAGCTTACTTGTTGGTTAGGCAGTCAGTCTGTTCTCTTTGAACACACTTGGCAAGTACTGGTCAGTGGTCATGCACCTGAACATGCACCAGTGTTGGCCAAGTCTCGATTTAAAGGAACGTACACTTGGTCCTGTCACAACACACTGGCAGGTTATTAAAAAGAGTTCACTACTCTTACTTCCAAGAAGTTAGCTCTGACAGCTTTCTGTATTGTTACCGTCTTTAACTTGAGGCTTATAAACTTACATTAAATCACCCCTTGTCCTTCTGCGGTATAAAATAGTCGTTCAAAAACCTTCTTATATCTCATGGTAAGTGAGGTATCTGAATGCAAGCACTAATTTGCTGGCTATCCCCAGGGCATTCTCCATCAATTGGCAGTCTTTGGGTACCTTAGAGACCAATCCAAATTATAATGCTCCAAGCAAGGCCAGATTAAGAGTTTGCTAATATTCCTTCACAGTATTTGTTCCGGGCACAGTGATTGGTCTAGCGAAGAAACAAAACAAATACATTACAACTCCATCTAGTGGTAGCTTACTGAACTAAACTTACTCACAGTTGCAATATGAACATTTAGTTAATTGCTTATTGCCAATATCGTATGGACACTGTAGCCTCTTGAGGTATGGGGAGAGAGCCAATCAAAGTTAAGGTTAGTTTAGTGAATCTGGACCCTAACCAGTGACAAAGAAGATATGTATAAGAGTTGGACTATCCAGAAAATTTTTTGTGGAAAAACAATTAAATGATTCAAATTCTTTTGATGATGAGTCTAACCCAAACAAAAGTAAGTGGCATGGGAGAAATGTGGGGCTTGGCTTCCATGCTCACTGCCAGCTTGTCTATGGTCAATCTGCTGAGTGGGTGGCATATCAAGTAAAAAAGACCACCCCTTTTCTCATGTTAGGAGCCCTGGAACAAGACGCACAATTTGTGTAATCTAGAATACACACTACACCAACAGTGTAGTCATTCCCAATGGTCATGGTTCCCTAGAGGGGATACCCTAAGCTCTATGATCTTGAATATGGCTACTTAATAGACCAACAGTCCTCTGTGGGCACTGCTGCACCTGTCCTACTCATTTCAGGCGAACAGTACAAGGCGGAACAAAAAGATGATCACTATACCAGGATGGATTAATAGATGAACTCTGGCTAAGGACTCAGTAGTTCTTTAGTATGATGTCCTCTTGTTATTTGAACCACCTGTCTTCAGGCTTTGTCAGAAAGGGGGAATTCAGGATAAAATTTTTATACTGTATTTATTTTATTTTTCCAGAAAGATTGGGACCCAATGTCAGAAATATATATGAGTCAAGAAATGTCAAACATCTACAATGATGAGTGTGTAGAGACAGTGCTTTTTGGAATGAAAAACACTGATGAAAGACGCCTGTGCAAGTTTTATCGCGTGGGACGAAAATGTCCTCGGGGTGAAGCATGTCGTTGGGAACACACAAGACTCAGGGATGGTATGTGATTTGGAGTAAATAGTTCGATATATCCCTGCTATAAAGCTGCTGATTACTGTATTACTATACATGTATGTAGATAAGGTTTACTGTAATATAGTACTTAATAATTCTAAGCCACTGTTTCTGCTCACATTTACAGGTGTAACTACAAAAAAGGAACCAGTATTCTCTGAGTGTTTGGGACATAATCTGCTTGTATGTGAAGGTTCTGTACTTGCAGTTGTTGTAACATTGGTTATTAGTCCAGCACAATTCCAGGTGCACCTTCCATTTGGAGCAGTGTGTCTTCGGACATTACATGGTGAGTTGATCTTCAATAATCTTTTAACACGATCATCTCTTGATACACTTAAAAAATAAAACTCCTATTATAGACTGTGCATACTTAATAAATTATCTGTAAGATATTTGCACTTAGATACCCCCTTGTTGTCAGTTGTGTACAGTACGTAGGTAGTTGATGGATAATGATTTCTTAAAATTCTCTTGAAAAACATGTGAACTTAGACTGATTGTTTGATAGTTTTCTACTGCTCTTGAAATGCACTGCTGGAAGTTAAGGGTAACTAGTCGTTTCCTGACCTGAGGCATTTTCTCTTCTCATCTGGTCCCTGACATATGTTAGACTGACAACCTCCAAAAGAGGGCCACCTTACTGGTGCCTGCAGTCCAGCACCACATATCAAGAGATATTATAACACCTGCAGTTATTTAGCTTATACAGAAATATTAATGGGCAAAGTTTAGGGTAGGAGGGCCAGGGGAAGGTAGAGACTAGGATAAATGAATGAAATTAAAAACTGGGCTCCCAGAGATACAAAACCTCAGAGGATTGGTAAAAACAGCCCAAGAACCTTTAGAGTGAAGGACTGGCCGCCAACTCTCAGATATGAGGACGATACTCTTGATAGATTGAAGTTATATAATAAGTTTAGGTGTGGGTGTAGATCCTGAGGGGATGCATCCCCCCTAGAATTGGGTTGGAAGATTTCCTATATGAGCATCCTCCTCATACACTTCATGTAATCTTAAAGAAAAAACAAAATCAAAACTTCCCAAATTTTGAACAATTTATTTTTTTATTACCGGTATTTTTATTTTTTAATTTTTTAATTTGTTGTTTTGCTGTTCAAAAATCATTCTGAGAGATAGGGTAGTTTGAGAGCAATGTTCATGGTTAGTTTTAGCCTGACAGTGAATGTCAGCAACAGTTGTCAACCCAGGTCATCAATACAGAGACTGACAAGGTCATGCTGAGCCCAACATCCCTTCCCCTGACTCAGACCTGACAGTGATGTCAGAGTCAACACTTGTATACTTATGTCATCATCAATATTCTCCTACAAGATGTCACAGTCAGGGACATTGGGGTCAACTTCTGGTGACATGGGTGACCAGCGTACATGCCGGTAATTTTGCGAAATAACTTACAAACAGGTTAGGTTAGGATGGCTCGTGTAGCTTGATACACAGTTAAGTGGTTCTGTTTTTATTTATTATTTTTATTTATTTATTTTTTTTTTTTTTTACTTTGGTTAGCCTGTTTGTAAGTTATTTTGCAAAATTACCAGTATGCATGCCGGGAATTTTACAAAATAACTGATTTCACAAAAAAGAAAAAAACATATACTCACTCATTCACTGTGGCTGGTCTGAATTTCAAGTGTACCCTCAGTTCAACATTTTAGATACAATGGATCCATTCCACATATGGCATGTCCACAGTCAACTGTCATATTGAATGGGTTAAGGAAAAAAATAAAATTATTGGTTTAGAAATTTTTTTAAGTGAACAGCTATGGTTAAAATTACAGTGTTCACAAATTGTACAGATGATGAAAGAAGAACGGACTTGGAGATGTTAACGTCGGACATGCAAGAGTACTACAAAAATACCTCGACCCAGTTACAAATGTGTCTGCCTGCACCTGGAGAGCTAAAGGCCCACTGTGAGATCAAAGAAGGAAAGCTAGATTGCTCAAGAGTTCGTGTCATAGATGTAAAAGGAAAAGAAAAACTTTGTCAAGTTCAGGTATGGATATTAAGGATACTTATTGTATAATCTTAAATTTGTGCAGTAATAGGAGATGAGAATTGTAACTCCTGTTGGAATGGCTTTTAATGGTGATGGAGTAAAATAATTTGTTCTTGTTAACACCCATCATCAGGCTGCTCTCTTTACTATGCTACTTGGCCCATCATGCAACTTCCCCATTTGACTGTTAGGAGCTGTTTGTATGATCCTCATTCTTCCTTGTCACAACCATAGCCCTCAAAACAATTGAAAGGTTCCCTCTTGAGGTAAGAGATCTAATTAGTATTGAACTACTTGGTCTGTATCTCATGCCACCTCATTAGGCAACTACATTTGATTTTATGGTTACTCAGCCATCTTCTTTGTCTCTAACTGACACTCACAGTAACTCTTTTGTTTCATAAATTCATGAAACAATTTACCCATTCAGGTTTTACATTACTTGATATACTTTTATCCTCTTCACCACTGATCGGCTCATTAGCCGCTTGGGCGATCAGTCACGTCTCTGCAACTTTTCTTTTTCTTTTATCCTCTTCACCAATTGATCGGCTCGTTAGCTGCTTGGGGGATAGGTCACGTCTCTGTTATGCACTGTTGGCAAGTTCTGGGCATGCACCGGCTCTTGAATGTACCTGAACCTGCTCCAGTGTTGATCAAGTCTGGTCTTGAAAGAGCTCACACTTGGTGCCATCACAACACTTTCTGGTAGATTGTTCCAAGAGTTCACAACTCTCATTCCAAAAAGTTTGCCCTCACAGTTTTCTGGACCTGCGGCTTCTTCAATCTTGAGCCCCTTGTGGGGCGAGCGTCCGCCAACTCCAAGTAAGGACACTCGACCGAGTAGTGCCCCTGAGATGCTTATACACCTCAATAATAGGTTACATCATTATTAGATAATCATGACAATGGAGTGTGTGTGTCTTGTAGGCTGAGGTTTGCAACGATAATATCAGAATGCTCCAAGCTGTATTGTCCCTCAGAATGGTAGCCAGAAAACTAAGCATGAATGTGAGGAATAATATGGTTCATAAGAGAATGTTTTATCACCCACCATGATAATGGTCTTATCATAGGGTCTGCCACACACAACCTTGGCTTGATCCTTACACTGGATAACATGATGGGAGTATAGCTGACATATGAGCACGTGATGGCTAGTGCCATATGAGGCTAAATGTTCCAATTTAGCCACCATACCTTCCTCGTTAGTTATGATGAGATCTATTAGTTTTAGTGTTTGTTCACCTCTTGAGTGAATTTGATCTTTAACATGTTGGAATATTAAATTATTTCTCAGTTTCTACAAAAAAAAGCTGCAGGGTTATAAGGTCATTCGGTGTAATTAATTTCTCCAGTTGATTTTGCCAAAATTTAAGTCTTCCATAACAAGCTGAGTGCTGTAACATTGTCTATTAAGTATCATAAAGTCCTGTACAGTAGTTCAATAAATTACAATTCAGGGATCTGTACTTATATTCAACAATGAGTGTGTCTTCCCTGCAGTTTATTTCTTCAAAAATATCATCCCCCGCACCCACACTTGACTGGCTGTAAGGTTTGTTTATGAATTAGTCCAACCCTGAGTCTAAACTGGCTGCTGGAAATGGCCAGTATTAACAATGGTGCCTGTGAAACTGAGGTATTAATGAACAGCATCTCAGTGACCAAGACTAGCCTTCTCTTGATTGATATGTGCAGGTGTTAGCTAATGGTTGTAGGAACCCATTGCAGTACCTGGTTATGGTTTGAGGGCACATGGGACAACCCTGTAAGTTTTGGGCATTCCTGTGTAGGAAATGGACTTTCCCAATATTAAATTTATAATAAATCATATGTAAGTCATTCAGAGGGTATGCAAACTAATTTGGATATTTTAGAGTTGGTCATTGAGCACAATTTTGGCAGAAGATAACTTGGGTATCCTATTTTCCACAAAATCTGATGTACCCCCCTTAATTGTTTTGTATGCCTGTTTGACATTAATCCTTTGGGTGTGATGTTTACATTAGTCTTACATCAACCACATTACCCTTAGGTAATGTAATTCTGCTGCTGTCAAAAAATGGTTCCCCACTCACTTGCATATACAGTACATATTATAATATTATGGGAGACAGCTGTGGTGCCAGCATTTGCTGGGTTCAGGCCAATGTTTACATGTTAAAAGAGCCTGGAGATGGTATGCAAAGTAGTCAAAACAGTCATCCCACTACCTTAAGGCTTCATTCATATAGTTATCAAGGGATTTATTTTGGGGATGGGGGCCAAATTTCCATGATGTCATGGTACAGAGATGAAATGCTTTCACTGGCTCCAACAAGTTGTGGGAGATCACGAGTATGATATACAGGTAGTTCTCCTATAACGCGATAATTGTGTTCTTGTAAAATATCGTGTTATAGAAAATCGCGTAATAGAAATAACAGGGCTTATGGAGAAAACAGGGTTAGGTGCAGATTACTCGAAATCGAAAAAATTTAGTAGTTAGCTTAACACAAAGGATAGCAGTCTAAATAAATGTTACATTCATATCTAATAATGAAATCATACAGTAAATGTAACACTTTACTTGATAGGGGAGAAGGGTGATTTTGAAGTTGATAAAATCGAGCTTCTCTTCAAGTGTTATATCCTTTCTTTTACGATCATCACCAGGAATTCTATCACCAGAACGCTTCTTGTTGATATTCTTCTTTACTATATTCACAGTTAATACCACAAAATTGGAGAAATAGTAAGCAAAAATCGCGTTATAGCAAACAAGCGTTCGCCTTATACAAATATCGTTCCTAATTCATAAATTGCGTTAGAGCGAATTCGCGTTATCAAAACACGCGTTATAGCAGAACTCACTGTATCCCAAACTTAATCTTAGCGTGTCTTGCACTTACAGTAGGCACCTCAACTACCCTGATAGATGGAGTGCCTGAACTTGCCTATCTTATACTACAGACAGGCAAGGGGCAACCTAATTGAGGTATATGTACAGTGGTCCCTCAATTAACGAACACAATTGGTTCCACAGAGTCGGTTATTAACCGAAATATTTTTTAACTGAATCTATTATTTCAGTGGGATATTGAGTAATTGGTTCCAACTCACAGAAAAAGTATACATACAAAGTACTGTTTACCGGTAATATAATTAACAAAACATTAAATATAAACTAAATACAGTACTGTATAGTATACTGTACAATAATAAATAAAAAAAAAACAATAGAATACTGTATTTTAACTTACTTTGAGGTGTGTATGTCGCCGGCAGTTTTGTTCACATGTCAAACTGCTGATTGTAGAGGCAGTTGATGATGACATGCCCTATTCTTTACAGAGTACATTGGTTCTAATGCCTTCTTCATGTTTCATAATTATTTCTGCTCTATATTATCAAGATGCTAACTAAATTTCAGAATGACCAATTATTTTAATGTAAAAATGCAAAAATATTCAAGAGACCAACAAACTCGATGTTCACTCCATTGTAAACAAATTTAAACTGAGAAGCGTTGGTGGGTGATTCAATCAGCTGATGGGCGCACAAAAACTGTTCCCTGTACTGTATATATTATCAATATGTTAACTAAATTTCAGATTGACCAATAATTTTGATATAAAAAATGCAAAAATATTCAAGAGACCAACTTTCTTAATATTTACTCCAGTGGAAAGATGAACAACGATGCCATAGAGAAATCCGACTGCGAGAGAGATTTAGGAGTAATGATAAGTAGGAACCTTAAGCCAAGTAAACAATGTGTTTTTGCTCGTAACAAGGCTAATAAAGTACTTGGGTTCATACAAAGGAGTGTTAGTTACAAGACTAGCGAGGTCATCCTAAAACTGTATCTTGCTCTTGTGAGACCACACCTGGATTACGCAGTTCAGTTCTGGTCACAGTATTACAGAATGGATATAGAATCATTGGAAAGAATTCTGAGGAGAATGACAAGACTAATCCCGGGCATTAGGAACCTTGAGTATAGAGACAGGTTAAAGCATCTTAATTTGCACTCCCTCGAGAGATGTAGAGCGACCTGATAGAGGTGTATAAGTGGAAGTCAGGGCTAAACAAAGGGGACATTACAAAGGTACTCAAACTATCCAACCAGGAGCAAACTCGTAACAATGGTTTTAAATTAGACAAATTTAGATTTAGGCGTGAAATAGGTAAACACTGGTTTGGAAACAGGGTAGTGGATGACTGGAACAAGCTACCAAATATCATCATTAACTCGAATACGCTGAATAGCTTCAAACATATGTTGGATGCTTATATGAGCAATAGAGGTTGGGTGTAAACGGGACTGCCCAGTATGGGCCAGTAGGCCCGCTGCAGTTTCCTCCATTCTGATGTTCTTATGAAACGAATGTAAACATAGAACCAATTACTGTATTGGCAGACTAGCCGATCAGCTGATGCACACACCAAGACATGTTTCTAGTAAGCCTGTCGTTAATCGAAGTTTTGTTCTTTAATGGAACTGAAAATCCTTATGGGAGCTAATTCGTTAATTGAGGGACCACTGTATAAGCATCTCAAAGGGCATTACTCAGTCTAGTGTCCTTACCGAGAGCTGGCGGACGCTCACCCCACAAGGGGTCACAGCTCAAGGCTGATAGAAGCCGCAGGCCCAGAAAACTGTGAGGGGTACCTTTTTCTGAGTGAGAGTTGTGAACTCTTGGAACTATCTGCCATTGTGTGTTGTGATGGCGCCAGGTGTGAACTTTTTCAATTCTTGGAAGAGGTTGGTTTTTCCTTCATCTTTTGAAAGTTTTTAGTCAGGTCATTCTGAACTTTATTTCCCACTGCATTAATTCACTTCACTTCATGCTAATTTTTTTTTTATTCTCAATATCTTGTTATACTGTATTTTAATATTGTGAAATTTTTATTCAAGATTAAATGTGGCATTAATAATCAAATTGTTGAAAGCCAGAGCCCTAAGACAAAGATCAAACTTAGATGATTAATATTCCTTACAATTTTATGTTGTTCTATTTGTTATAACTTTGATTTTTAGGCTTGTTTTTCATTTCAGGTTTTCTTTATTGACTTTGGTTATATGGAATGGGTTCCTGAGAAACAGCTTCATCCACTTTCCATAAAGTTCCTTCATCTACCTCCACAAGTAAGAGAATACCACCATCTAATTTAATTACATAGAAAATATTGTTTAAAAGGGATTCTAAGAAACAGTATCATATATAGTGTATGATGATGGTGTATTGTCAGTAATGGAATACCTGTGTATGTGTGAAAGAGGTCCCTTATCCTCTTTGCCACTTTTCAGCGAAGTAGCGTGTTGGTAGTCAGTCTGTTTTCTATTGTGCACTGTTGGCAAGTACTGGTCCATTGTTATCTGCTGTGTTTTTTGTTTATGACAGTTAGTTTGGATGAGTGAGAAAAAGTGGTGTAGTGACCTTGGATTACATTGTGCTTATGTTTCGCGAGATTTTTGTGTAATACAGTATTAACGATTCTTGTGTATTAATGATGAATGAGGTGTATACTGTAAATGTCTGGAGCGGTTCTGGTGGTAATGATGGCCGTAGAGAAGGTCGAGAAGGAAAGCCCCAAGCCAAACATGGCTACCAGAAGGTGATCAAGAAGAGGAAATACACCCTTGAAAAGAAACGAGAGATGATCAAGTGGTAAATAATGTCACTGAAGAATGCAGTAGATGAAGTTTACAACGTGATTCTCAGTAGATCAAAATAGACAATGGACCTCTTGACATGGTTTTTTTTCCAGTTCACTTAAAATAATCTCCCACATTATTTATTTATTTACTGTACTTATTTTTTGTCAGGCACTAGAATGCCGGTTAACTGGAGTTGAGATTCCAGATGAGGGATGGAATCCTGCAGCTGCCAGTCACCTGAGTGAGTTGACAAAAAATCAGGTGTTGGTTGCTTATGTCACTCACGTTGACAGGTAAGATTATGAAGATATTGGTAGACATTGCCAAACTTGGTAATGGAAGAGAGAGAACTGAAAAATAAATTGTTAAATCATGTGCCTTTGCAAGAAAAAAAATTCAAACTTGCAAATATATTGTCATTAAGAGATAGCTTTTCAGATAGAGCCATTATAAACTTTTAAAAAGAGGGTATCTTGTTCTTAAAGGGAAATTAAAATGTATTTCACAAAGACCTTCTTCACAATCAAATAAATTATGCTTTGTAGAAAAAAAAATTAAATGGTATACATTCTATCCACCAGAGACCATCAGCGACTGGGTGTAATTCTCCTTGACACTTCTGAAGATCAAGATATCAACATTAATGAAACATTTTTGAGGAAGTTCCAGATAAAGTGAAATAAAAATTACAACATGTTATCCAAAGTCTAACTAACCAAGTCTAGCAATGAGCCGAGCTTTTTTGTGAAGTCGTTGGCCAAGGCGAATATTCTTGCTATATTTTCCCATCCCCTAGCACACTATCTTTCAGTTAGCCACTTGAACTTCTCATGTAATCATTATTTTTATACATATTATTATTAACAATTCTCTTCTTCCTCTATTATTATTTTTACAGTGGTCCCTCGATTAATGAACACAATTGGTTCCACAGTCATTCGTTAACCGAAAATTTCGATAACTGAATCTATTATTTCAATGGGGTATTGGGTAATTGGTTTCAACTCACAGAAAAAGTATACATACAAAGTACTGTATACAGGTAATAGAATTAACAAGACATTAAATATAAACTAAATACAGTACTGTACTGGACAGTATACTGTACAATAATAAATAAAAAAAACAATAGAATGCTGTATTTTAAGTTACTTTGAGGTGTGTATGTCGCCGGCAGCTTTGTTCACATATCAAACGGCTGATTGTAGAGGCAGTAGATGACATGCCATATCTTTACGGAGTGCATTGGTTCTAATGCCTTCTTCATGTTTCATAATTTCTGCACTGTATATTATCAATATGTTAACTAAATTTCAGAATGACCAATAATTTTAATGTAAAAATGCAAAAATATTCAAAGTTAAACTGAGAAGCGTTGGTGGGTGATTCAGTCAGCTGATGGGCGCACAAAATCTGTTCCCTGTACTGTATATATCAATATGTTAACTAAATTTCAGAATGACCAATAATTTTAATATAAAAAATGCAGAAATATTCAAGAGACCAACTTTCTTGATATATACTCCACTGGAAACGAATGTAAACATAGAACCAATTGCTGTATTGGCGGACTGGCCGATCAGCTGATGCGCACAACAAAGCGTGTTTCTCGTAAGGATTTTGTTAATCGAAGTTTTGTTCATTAATCGAAGTTTTGTTCGTTAATCGAACTGAAAATCCTTATGAAAGCGAATTCGTTAATCAAAATTTCGTGAATTGGACCGTTTATTAATCGAGGAACCACTGTACTCGTATAATTTTGCTACCAATATCAGTGTAAAAGCAATTGAGTAATCATAAGCGTATGGGATAGCTATGGGGCAGAGAGAAGGAATATAGCCACTAGATATAATACAGATGACAAGGCTATACAACAGTTTCAAGCAATAAATAGGTACTTGTCTCTCCACCTCTGGTTTCCTGGCCGAAAGTTAGACTAAAGGGAATTTAAATTTAAACCTGCCAATGATTCTCAAGTATTGCCCATCCACCTGTTCACCCTATATTTGCTGCATGCACGATAAAATCCAATTTTTCCTCCTTTGGAAATCGATGAAATATCAAACTCGTATCATGTAGTCTGTAATTTTATATGCATTTATCAGGCATTGTCATAGACCTTTGCACCACAACAGCCAACTGATGTCCCACCTTGGACCAACACACCCCCCCCTCCCTCCTAGGCTGCAGGTCAGATGCCGTCATGTGCTATGAAGGATGATTTTGACTTAAAGTGCATTGACTTGGTATAATTAGACTTTGATGTTATCATCTTTGTTCTACAGCCACAGCTGACTGGCGAGGGACATGTGCTTTGTTTTGAGTTGCACGCTTCTTTCTGATTGGCACTGTATTCTTGTTGGAGTATGTAAGTATTCTTTTTGTTATTATTAACTCCTTAAAGGGGCTTTGTTACCAGAATTACCATAACCTGTACTCTAATGTGACTTAGAAATAAAAAAAAACTACAACCAGACTTGTTATCACAATTGTGGTCCAAACCACATGGTAGCATTAAAATATAAATTTATACCAATTGTGAGAGATGCCTTAGCCAAGATACAAAAGAAAATATTATTTTAAATAGAAAAAAGTAAGTAAATAGAGAGAGAGAGAGAGAGAGCACGCACAAGTTTTGGAGACAACATATATTCAATGACACCTATCAGTAATAATGAATTGAACACTTATTTTAAAATCAGTAATTCCTAAATATGTATTCATGGCTGAAAAATTTAACCAGTCTATATAGCTGTCCGATATTTTATTTGGATAAAGAAGCGTGCAATAAATTATGTGCATCACAAACTCTTTAAATGCAACAGAAGTAAGTCATGTACAAAACCGAGACTAAAGTGATATTAAAGCAGGTACATGAGTACAAGTGACCCGAGTGACAACCATAACACAATCAATGCTACTTTGTAGAAGACACTGGCTATTAATTTCATCACATTTAAACTTAAATACATTACAGCCTATTATAATTTCAAATTACATTTGTAGCATATTTCACATTTTTTTTTTTAAAGAATGTCACCAAAAGTTTAAAAGTAACCATTACATCTACAGTTCTGCTAAGGTGACAACTTTTGAGCTAGACTTGTCAAGAGGTGTGGTGACAAGTTTTGCTTTAATGACTGAATAAGGTCTTCATTATCAGCACATGAGATATGTTGCAAGATATCACACAAAACTTCAACTGCTTTCTTCTTGTCCACTGAATCAGGCTGATTATACACCCCATTTTTGTCTTTTGGCACAAGTTGCAATTGTCTGTCTGAATGACATTGATCACCCATGTTTGTTGTTCTTTCCGGTTCTATATCTAACAGTCTTCTTTTGTAATCTTTCGAACTTCCATAATTGTCTTTGTATTCTATAACCTCATTAATTTGTACACTGGGTAACTTATGTTTCCTTATAAACTGATCTATTTGCTCCATTGGATTAGTGATAATCGTATCAGTTCTTGGGTCAGCACCAAATATTTTATTAGTTTGAGGATGGTAAAATTGTTCTCCATGAACAACAACACTTGTACTCTGCCGCTTTCTTCTTCCAACAGCAGAAGTGCATTGCCATAGAGGCTGCCTTTTTTCTGAGACGGCTAAAACGGATGCAAATTCTGGAAGCAGTCCTTGAGAAGCCTTTTTAAATAATTCACTCACTGCCAACATTTGGTTCTTTACAGTTGAGTGTGTAGAGATCTTCTGGTGGTTTATTGTTGGTTTGATGTCTACTTTACTATGAAATTCCAGTATCTCCTTAACATCTGCAAGTCCAACAAGAAGCTTTGGAAAAGTAATCTTCACACCAATATCACCTTCTTTAGCTTTTAGGTAACGTCGGAGAAGTTCCAGGTATTTTAGCTGAATCTCCTGAATCTTTTGAGGATTCTGAAACTGTGGATCATCTGGCTGAAAGAATGCAATTAAACAAATTAGTACTAAAAGGATTTCATCTTTCAGCTCTTTAGCATATTTGTTGTAGAATTTCATAATGGCATCAAAAGCCTCAGGCAGAACTGTAAACTTTCGAAGGGTGGTCATGGAGATAGGTGGAATCTTCAAAGCTTCTTTATTACAATCTGAGGGCCACATTTCATTTTCATAATCATACATATAGGCACCATGGAGGTATATTGACATGCCAATCCCATTCTTCAATAAAAGGGACTGGTCTATCTTACAAACGTCTTGAAAGTCTTCAACTTTGTAATAGAACATCCCTAATTTTTTACATATACACACAAAAAGGTTTGCTAATGCTTCTATGCTGTCACCATAACAGTCCTCTGGGTAAGGAATGGATTTAAATGTTGACTCCTGAAGAGCAACGAGATTCCTCAATACATCTGCTTCCTTAGGGTTCAATGATCGTGGCAAATCTCCGTAAACTTCTTCCTTAATCTTCTCTTCTTGGACGTGGCGCTGTTTGGCTAGCCTGTTCTTCCAGAGCACCATGCGGTCAGTTTCTGACATCACCCAGTTGATTTCCATACCATTCTCTTGACTTTTCTTAAACCTGACAAAAGAAAAATATGACTTAGTACATGTGTGTGAAATTACTTAATGAATACACAATAAACCACCAGCTGAGAAAAGATACCACGCCCCCTCCTCAAGAGTTACAGCTGATTGGCTGTTGCAAATCTGTCCGATTTCATCCTGAAGTAATGATGTATTTCTAAATGAGTTTATTTATAATCATTGGGATGGTCGTTAAGCTAAATTATATAAAGATACATATATTCATTATTTCAAGCATAAGCACGTAGGAAGTTTATCAGAAATATTATACGTGAATTAGCTGTAAACTGGTTGCAAATTCATGCTTTCGGAGGACGCATTTAATATACAGGTACATGTATACTGTACGTGCATATTTGTACCCACAATAAAGCATACCAAGACAAATTATGTATAGGTAGTACTATATGATGCAAAAACAAACATTTTTAAAGATCAGAATCACATTGAAATATTACACAGCCATCAGCAGAGGTGGGAAATATGACTGAGAACCACTTCATATTTCCTGCCTTTGCTGACGGTTAGGTGGCCAAGCTCTCCAGTCTGTCAAACTCGTCCACCAATTTTCAAGGGGCCATGTAATATTTCAATGTGGTTCCGATCGTTTAAAATGTTAGTTTTTGCATTATGTAGTAATATTGATATGTAATTAGACTTAACATGTCTCATTGTGGGTAAAACTAAGTACTGTATACCTGTATATTAAATGCATCCTCAGAAAGCATCAATTTGCTCCCAAAGTTTACCAGTTAATTTATGTACTGTATATAATACTTCTGATAAACTTCCTACATGCTCATGTTTGAAATAATGAATGTATGTATCTTTATATAATTTAGCTAAATATCTTTCTCGTCAGAAACGGTCATCCCAACACTCATGAATAAACTTCTTTAGAAATAAATCATTACTTCAGGACGAAATTGGACAGATTTGAAACAGCCTATCATCTGTAATTCTGGGAGAGGGAGTGGGGTATTTTTTCTCAGCTGGGAAAAACTGCACTATAGTGATTACTGCATTGGATGCTACACCTGAGTCCGGTGCTTGAGGCCTTTTATATCTTCTGTTTAAAACAATGTTTTCCACTAAAACTATGCTGGAAAAATATCCAGTATACTGTATCAGATTTTTATCTTACATTTATGCTCAGTACTGTAACTGCAGTCTTAAATTGGCCATTAATATTTAAACAGCCTTTAACAATGAAATTATGGGTTAAAATAAATCAGTCAATTATTTGTGTAGGCAACAGCTCTTGATGAAAACATCCGTGAATGTCATTCCTTGAAACTCGTTAAAATTTGTAAATGCTTTCAAAGCCATTATTTAAAATACTTTCATTCTTCAGTCTGTTAAATATAATAATTAAGTAATATACTTAGGAAACTAGAGGCATTCTTCTGAAATAGCAGTATTATGAGCATTCTAGCAGATCAGTTTAACTTGGACTGTAGGCATGGGCGTCCACAGAAAAAAATGCAGGGGGGGGCAATGTTATCCTGAATTCGACGTGTGAAGACATCATTGACAATTTCGGAAGAGATCCCCGACGGCTCCAATTCCTGTTCCAAGAGTAGTAACCTGCTCTAACTGAATGAACTGTTGAGAAATGTTTGTTATTTTATTCATTTTGTATTTTCCATGTAATTTTTTCAAATTTTTTATTTTCCAGGGGCAAATGTCCCCTTGCCTCCTGTGGACCCCCATGACTGTAGGTCACATTACTCACCTACAATACTGACAGACTTTCCTGTTCTGCTTTGAGATGGGACAAGTTTTGTTTTCAGGACACTGGAAACTTTTGTAGGCACCACTCTGCACAGACCGTCTGAAAAATGCTTTACACGAGTCACATGCCATCCCTCCAAAGTGCATACTTCTTGCTGCATCACCACACACTCCACATCTTTTGTCTTCCTTGGCCTTCTCTTTGGCCTCCTTTTTCTGTCTCTTCTGACTCCTTTTGTGTTCATCTGCAACTGTTGGTGGTTCTGGACTATGCTTTTTATTGATTACAGAATTACTGTTGCTGCTAGCTGGCGAGTATTCCTGGCTGCTGACGGAATCTGAGCATAACGAACTTTCATCCAGCTCATGTCTGGGAATGTCCACAGTACTCATAAACTCTGGACTGCTATAACCCTCCTGGCAGTCAGCAGCGTTGCAACTTAGTAGTACTAATGGCTGATCAGATGGTTCAAATTCTGACCCAACCTCACTCTGATCATTTGGTGGTGCATACCCTCGTTCAGTTGCATGTCCTCCCCAATACTGGCCATCAAAATTTTTTGGTTGATTGCCTAAGCATATGCCATCTGTCCACCATTCCAAAGGTTCTCTTTCATTTTCTGATAATTTGGCATCAACACGTTGCTGTCCCTTGAATGGAGGAGTTCCAGTGGTTTCAGTGTTAGAGTAGAAAGAGCTCCCAACAGAGGAGTGGGCATTGTACCAATAGGATGTTGTTGGGAAGGAAGGAAGGTTTAGCCCATCCACAGGTTTACCGCCTGGTGGTCCAAACTGGTAGTATGCATCCTTAGACATGCTGCCTCACATCTGTTGAGAGAAGAATTTATTAATACACCACACAAAGATGAAAAAAGTTGCGATATGTTATTCTTGAGGAATATGTACAACAAAACATTTTGACCATTTACTATTCCCCTGTTCATGTGGAAGCAAGAAATGGTAATTTTTTCTGCTTTGATCAAATGTGGAATACTGTAACAGAGAAGTTGAAGAGATGTGCTAAAACCAATATCGCTTTTACATATAGAAGAACAATAACACAGCCTTTGATTAAGAATAGTGAGAGATATCCAAACAAATTATATGGTTCAGTACATGATATACAATGGTGCTGCCATGAAATCAACGAGATAAAATAGGTGTCACAATGCTGTTGTCCTGGTAACGCTCTTAGGTGTTCTTCAGCTTGGAGACATGACTCACCCGGCGTGAAGCAATGGTAAATATACACAAATTGAATGCAACAGTAAATGTCAATCCAACACAATACTGTGACCACCATTAGCAGTGCAACTACAATGACAATGAGGATTTCCCTGTGGCCACTGAACACTCTTAAATTAGCTCTGTCTACTTCTAAGAATCTTTCCTCTTTCATCGGGATAATTTTTAGGATTCTAATGGCATTACTGTTCATTTTTAAATTATCTTACTATAAACATTATTTACCATTGCTGCCGCACCTCTCCACGGGTATATTCTTGTTCCTGCCCACTTTCTTTTGATGGTAAAACCTCTTCATAATCATCATACAAAAGAACTTACACACTAAAGTAACCAATCTTGAAAGTCCCCACTACACAAGAAGTGTAATATTCAACATTTTATTACCATACTTTGTTCAATTTTTTACTTTCCTAAAAGAACACCACTCTTAATTATCCACTTGTCCGGTCACTAAATGTAATGTAAACATAACCCAGTCCATTTTTTGGGATTCACCACATCCTTGTGAATCACTGTAAAATATTAAAACATAATAGATTTTCCTTATCTTCCAACTCTGCAGAACCAGTGTTCATAAAATAGTACAGGGCATCTCAATGTGTATACATTACAACTATACACACTACCTTACTGATTTTTTTGTCAATAACGTGAATGCTATATTGCAACAGCACCGTTATTCTCACTTGTTGATGTACAAGATCACCCAAAAGTGAGGACATTGTTGCTGTTGCCATACAAACATTCAAAAAACAAAAAAATTTAAGGTAGTATACAAAAAAAATTTTTAACACCCTGTAGAATGAAAGTAATGGGTCCCATATTCAGGTTTGTACCAATTGTCCTTGGCCATGTTTAAGCAATCTAATCTACAGCTAATGGTATACTGTAGTGTTATCAGTGACCTTCACCCTCCTTTCACCTGTACTGTACATCCATCACTTTGTGTTCTACATTCTCCATAATTCACTTACACACTCACACACGCTACTATTTTTTTTTCTACACATGTCCTCCAGCCTCTCCCAATAGCCACACCTTCGCTGCCATTTTATTTCCTTAAAATTTAATATCCTAATACAAAAGTAGCTACCCTAGCTGCTGTGTTGAGTTAGTCGAGACACAAATCTATGCAACATTCAGTGACTGTTGCCTCATAGTCAATGTCTATGGTCATTGTCGGCTTTGGGGCCAAAGATCTCATTCCCTGAGGCAAAGCAATGCAGACCTAAGTAGAGAGGACAGTCGACATCTCAACCAGGCTGCTGCTTCTGTTCACATAACACCTCCGCGAGTCTTGCATACAACCATCTTGCACTTGGTCCCATCCCACCAAAGGTTGTGAACACCAGAGTGAAGCTGCCTTGATCAACATTCAGAATTCTCAACCAATATTCCCTGTTCTAGTCATTCTCATTCCTCCTGTCTTGCAGCATCGAGAGCTAGGTTACAGTGACATGCAGCCATGGGATCTAAAATCCTGATATCAATAAAGGCTCACTGTCCCCACATCCAGAATCCTTGAGCATTGACATCCACATGGCCTTCGTTGGATGTGTTTGAAGTCCTGTGATCGAAATTCTCACCGTCCAATGGAAGGAGGGTTGGTTTCACCATGACATCATGGTAGATTTCCTTCAACATATTTCAACTTATGGGAATCTATCTAGCCATTGGACTACCTAAAGGTAAATGGAGGTGGTGTGATATTCTGCGACTCCCAAAGTGCTTTGTAATTAATGAATGGCCAGTCGTTAGAGGTACCTGTACTGTATGTGATATTTAAGAACCACCACCTTCGTACTGAACTTTTGAGTTCAGCCCCATGTTGGAATTAGGAAACATGAGTGTTCATCATTAGCCAACGAGACCCAATGAGACATGCAACAGAAAATTTAGACCATGACCTTGGCCTATCCTATGCTGTACTTAAAAATCATGTAAGTTAAAATCATGAACTCTGAACTAGAAGAATTAAGAAATGCACTGAGACCTGATACTGTAGTTATTGCATTAGCAAATGACAAATTTTGTGACAAGCACAAAGACAATGTGATGTAGTTAAAGCCAGAATTAGGCTAGACTATAGGCACATCTGGCAAGTTAGTGAGGCTGTACCCATACCACAACACTCCGCATGTAAACTTTGTGATAATGATAAACCTTTAAAGTATACTATTGACCAATATAATATGCAACATTGCCAAAGAGTTCAGACCGCCTGGCACATTGTATCATGAACCCTGTAACTACTATATTCAGTCAAGAGCCCTTGAAGATATTCTGGCAGTTTATCCTAAATTTGCTAGTCCACACTCATTAGTCCTCACCTATAATTAATATGACACTAAGGAATATGACTAACTCTCGTATCTCCTCTTGTGTATGAATGAACCTCCGTCCTGTGTGGGAGTGATAGCACCCTCAGTGTCAAGCGAGATCAGACAACGCCTCACACAGGGCAAAATTGTACCTGTCTTTGTAACTCACTCACTCACTCACTCACTCACTCACTCACTCACTCTCTCTCTCTCTCTGGCTAGAGACAAATCATTACATGCTTTCTCAACAAGCTCATAATCACCACTTAAACTACATCATTGACCACCGAAGGGTCAAGACGTACCTGGCGCTCCTCTGGGAGCAGCCAGGTCAACTGTTATGTTGGCCCATACCAACTCCCTCCCCTGAACCCTCCTCCCCACCGGAATATCAACAAGTTCTCGCCAGAAGTTACAATTTCATTTAGGAAAGGAATGGAACCAGTGTTGAACAGAGGTGAACAGTGCTTCAGTCAGTGAAAACAACTCAACAGTAACAGCCGAGTCGTACCAAAGTTAATTTTCACACAGTGAGGTCCCAAGTACCCAGTGACAACTGCCCGTGAGACCCAACAACAACCAGCAATAAGTTAATCCGCCTACGATAGGAAGGCCTGGGACCAAACCTCACTCATATAACACCATTTGTGAGGGAATTCCTACACCACAAAATGCCCCTCATAACACCATCTGTGAAAGAATTACTACACGTCAGGCCCCTCATAACACCATCTGTGAGGGAATTCGTACACCACGTGAGGCCCCCCATAACACCATCTGTGAGGGAATTACTACACCACGTCATGCCCCTCATAACACCATCTGTGAGGGAATTACTACACATCAGACCCCTCATAACACCACCTGTGAGGGAATTCGTACACCACGTGAGGCCCCTCATAACACCATCTGTGAGGGAATTACTACACATCAGGCCCGTCATAACACCATCTGTGAGGGAATTCGTACACCACGTGAGGCCCCTCATAACACCATCTGTGAGGGAATTACTACACCACGTCATGCCCCTCATAACACCATCTGTGAGGGAATTACTACACCACGTGAGGTCCCTCATAACACCATCTGTGAGGGAACTACTACACCACGTGAGGTCCCTCCTAACACCATCTGGGAGGGAGTTACACTACGTGAGGTCCCTCATAACACCATCTGTGAGGGAATTACTACACCACGTGAGGTCCCTCCTAACACCATCTGGGAGGGGGTTACTACACTACGTGATTGCTGTTCAACACCTACATTATTCTGCTGTATGTTCCTTCACCTTTCTCTAATGAAGGTTTTTGTTAGACCACCAATGTATGTAATAAGTCAATATCAGTCCCATTCATTGACAACTGGGACAACTTCTATGGCAGAAGGGACCTTTATGCTAGGGATGGGGTGCACCTGTCTAGGGATGGGTGGCAACCCTGGCTGGGTCTCTCGAGAGGGCAGTTCAAAGGATATCGAAGCCTTTAAACTGCTAGGGGAACATATGGGCACGGGGGTGGAGGAGACTGCAGTGCGAGCGGGTAAACAAAGTGAAAGATTACAGGGAAATAGTGTTAGGAATGATGACAAAACTAAATTAGACAGGGAGTTAAAACCTAAACGTGGTAAAGAGAGGACTCAGAACACTTAAATGTCTACTAAGCGAACAGTAGAAGTATGAGAAACAAAATGGATGATATTAGGCCCTTGGTATGTACCGAAAAAATCGATATAATAACATTCACTGAAACATGGATCAACCTAGAGTTGCCGGTCGAATACCAAATTGCGGGTTACAAATTGTTCCATACCGATAGGCAGACCAGGAAAGGAGGCGGAGTAGCAATCTATGTCAGGGATAATCTGAAGTGTGAAATAAATAAGGAAATAAAAATGAGCAGAATACAGAAACAATTTGGATAGAATTAATTGACGACAGGGAAAAATTAATCATAGGAGTAATATATAGACCTCCCAATCTTGATAGAGTTAACGAGCGACTTATCTGGGATGAAAAGCAAAGGTCTTCCATACACAACAAAGTCTGTATAGTAGGCGATTTTAACCTTGGCCAAATAGATTGGACTGACCTTATGGGTAACTCAGTGTCAGAGGACTTCCTCGAAACGATCCAGGACTGTTTCCCAAGTCAACATATAACCGAACCCACCCGGGGTAATAATACACTCGACTTAGTTCTGTCAAACAGAGAAAACCTCATAAGCAATGTCGAGGTAGGGAACGAACTTGCAAACAGCGATC